CACATTTAGCAATTTATCTCTCTGTGTCTCTATTCTACCTTACTTCATGTCAATGCAGAGCATACATACTGAGGCTCATACATATGACTACTTTCTAACATACAGAAACTGTCTAATCATTTTGCAAAGACTGCTGCTTAGACCAAATCATCATATGTTATATTCCACTTCGACAGCCAGGGAAATGGCACTGGACACTGTGACCGACAGTCTCCATTTCATTTGTGTGTTCTCTGCCATTTATTACGCTTCCTCAAGGAGTAACTGGGTCACGGAAATTGCTGGAAAGGAAAACAGTTTCTTCTGCTATATACAACTTCAGCATGCTTGGGGAGGGGAGGTTTCCAGCACCACTGGGTGAAGATAACAGGAGTGGGAGAATCACTGGAAGAGATAGGAGCTTCAAAAAAATGAACCTTTCTGCAGAAAAAAAGAGCCCATCTGTATTCTCTGCATTAGCTTTACTGTTCAAAACATGTTTTTATTTTCCTTGGAAACCACCTCCTGATAAGTGCTCTTTGGTTCCTCTCAGCTTGGAAAATATTGGCATAGATTTTTAGAATATACTTTTCTCCCTTTCTTATAGGCTTTCTCTAAACAGTGAAGTAACTTTCCGGACAATTGAAAAAGAGAGCACTACCACGAATATCAGCAACATCTGGGTTTACAAGCACTGAAACAGGTGGGATAATACCTCTCCCCTGGATACAGTGAAGAACATGCAGGTCCCCCTGTTCATACTCAGGCTCTACAGGCTCCTTTCACAACCTACCATACATGAGCAAGGAAAGAAATCCTCAGCCATGGAAAGGCAACTAAGACTTCATATAGCTTACAGCTCAGATGACCTCTGCTGCCTGCACCACAGTAACAAGCACACCTGATATGAGGAATATGAGGGGCAATGCCTCTTGAAATAAACATTCAAGTTAAGGCAAAATTCTCCAAATAGAAAAACAAATGTTATTCCTTCCTTGGAGTCACTAAAGTTTCCACGGCTACACTGAAGTATGGCTATGACCTTTGAGACATTCTTATGTTAACCAGAAGAACAGTGTGTGCACAATGACTGTACCAATATTAATAGTGAAGTTCTATTTTGTGACTGATTTTTCATTTATATTAATGGCAAACACATACAGTTTAGCTAAGTATTTTCCAGCAGCTTAATACCCACATAAATAATGTTTCATAAGTTATCAAAGGGGGCTGCTACTGATCATCTCCTATCACTGGGTAAAAGTCATTTATTTAATACATATCCATAACAAAAGCAATTATATTTTGGTATGTCAGTAAACACCATGTCATACAATTCACTTAAAAATTGTGAATTTCAGAATTGTCAATTCATCCATTCGTATCATTAAAGAACAGGTTTAGGTTGCTCCTTAGCCAACCTTACCAATGATTCTCCCTTAAAACATTAATTTTTATTTGGATTCTGTATACACACAAAAATCACAGAATTCATCTTAGCTGCAATACGTATTCATCTAAAAGAAACACAGGCAACTGGTAAATGACCCACTAATAATGTACTTGCTAATTCTCTCTTTGAATGTAAGCATTTTAAGACACTAAAGAGGTATAATTAGTTGTAGGAGCAACTAAAGACTAATTACTCGTACAGGAAAAAAAATAAATGAAAAGCACTACTATAATTAGGTTCATTTGTTTCACCTGGAGAGGAAAAATCCACAGTATTCTGGAAAATAGTGCAACTTGATTAACATGATTTTTTTGACATTACTAGAGTTAGGAAATGAAGTCACAACTGATAGCTTACTTAAAAAAAAGAAATTTTATAGTCCTCTACAGAAAGGTCAACTACTCTCAGCTAACATTCTCATGTACTGTGCTTTCTAGAAACAGGCTTTTCTTCATTTCCATTTAATGCTACACATAATTGAAAGGACAAGAGATGCTAATTTGATCTTCCTAAATGTCACCCACTGAACAGCAAAGGAGAGCTAAAGCAGGTACATTTCTGATGTTCACACCTTTTCAAGCCCCTACATTAATCAGTGTCAGGAGATTTCCAAGTATTTTGTTTCACAGGTCTTGCAATCGATGAAACATTTAGTCTCCAGCTATTGGCCTGTTACACCTCATTACAGCATGGAAAAGTTAAAAACAATTCTTAATGACCAGGACACATTCAAGAGCACTGGCTGACTATCACTGCATAAACCCAGAGCTCAATCTTTACTAAAGGGCCGTTAAAGCTATCAGGGTCAGAACTCGACTTACTGATGATTTTCTTTTTGCCTTTTTTTTTTTGTTTTGGTCTTTTAAAGCATTTGCTCAGCTTTATATTGCTGTTTGTGCAAATGCTTCAACAGCATTTTAAAGCTAATTCCTATTTTAAGCATCGTCAGTAACAAATGTTACAGTAAGCAAACTGCATATTCAGATTTACTGAAGAAGGCAAAATTGTAATACTGAATTGAGGGACTTCACCATAAAGCTGTTAAAAGCTATTTCAAATATCTCAGGGAATACAGTAACAATATCTTCTGAATGAAGAATGTGACAGAGGTCAATTTTGAGTTATACATTTTTACGCCACATCCTCTTCCCCTGAGTTGGGTTCTATGTCATCGATCAACAGAGGGAAGGGACACCATGGAACATTCCCATAACCCTTTCAAACCATGAAAGACTCCAAAACATCCTTCTAGATCACTGAGTCAGTATAATTTTTTCACCAGAGGCTGGCTTCCTACAGAGGTAGTTGATGCCCCAAGCCTGTCAGTGTTTAAGAGGCATTTGGACAATACCCTTAACTTCTGGTCCCACTGAATTAGTCAGGCAGTTGGCCTAGATCACCTAGATCATCACTGTAGGTCCCTTCCAACTGAAATAGTCTATTCTGTTTAATTATTCCATTAGATGTCCACAGTTTACCTGCATTAGCTCGTTAAAGCACTGCACAACTAGCTAGAGGCTAGTTTCAAAGAACCATATTCCAATATTTTTCACAAGCATACACGTGAGTGAGTAACCCTTCAGTGATGACGGGGCTCATTTTATGGGAATGATCTAAGAGAAGACTCCTAACTCTGTACCTAACTGCTTTTGCTACCAATTCATGTGTGGGCTGTCATTCTGTTCATTAGGAATGATAGCTCTCCTGAATGTACAAAACTTTGCTCTGTATTCTTTTAGGAACATCTCTCATTGTGATTGGTGGACACAACAGGGAGCTAAAAGGGACTGTCAGGGAACAAAATAAACAGAACTTACTGCCAAGAACTGCCAGCTCCAACTGTTCTCAAACACAGCACCTGTCACAGACAGCAGCACACCCATTCTACTCTGCTGTGCCCATGAGGGTGCATGTTTCCTCAGCTGGAGGGCTCAGGGCTATGGCTCATTTTAGGTATTATCTGAACTAATTGTTATAAACTCAGCCACCAAATAAAGCCATTTCATGCAAGAATTCCATTCAAGAAGGAGGAGACAGTGCAATGTAGAGGAGTAGCTTCTGTGCATCTGTGGCAGCTGGTATTGTGTCTAAGCCAAATTTAAAGCTAAGAAGACCTAGCAGAGTAAAAAGCTCAAATTCCTCCTAAAAAACAGCTCTTAAGAGACTATTTGCAGTGGGAACAGTTTGTGCAAAGGGTTATGTTAAAGCCCTATGCAAGAGCAAAGGAGAAAGAGGTTTTCTTCTCTGCTGCCAGAAAACATAACATGTTTGATTCTTACAAGGAAACTTATTGTTTTCTCCAACATCAAAACAGGTTTAAAACAATTTATAGTTCTTCACTATCCTACCTGCGGTGCTACATGAAAGCAAACAAAAGATGTTTCTTTAGAGCTAACTTGATCACATGCTGCTGCAGGTGATGGGCTCCTGCCAAGCATCACCGCACTCTGAAAAAACTGTTTTTATCAGTTAGACTTTGAAATGGGCATTTATATTCATTGGACACCTCTTGGTATTAATACAGAGGAGCATGCACCCTCTCTGCATCAGTATAGCTGAGATACAGGGGATGTATTTAGGCATTATTCATGGATTTATTACTTACAATTAGAGCTTTTGGGCCAGATCTTCAGTTGGCATAAACTCAGCACAGCTCTATTTAAATTAAAGGCATCATGCTAATTCACACCAAATTATGCTCTGTTCTCAGAGTCTCTAAGGATTACCTACTTGATAAATCAGTTATTTTACTTAATTAAACTAGTTAAGACTCTTTCTTAGTAAATTATAAGCCCTCTATGATATTTACTCATTAAAGAGCTCAGACCATTAGGCAATACTCACATATTGTCTTTCTTTCATTCCCTTTTTTATTGATATATCTCATTACAACTTTAGAGCTACATTATAAATCTTTCCCATACAAAGTCTGCATGGGAAAGTACTTTTGGCTTAGCATGACTGATTAATGTTCATTTTTGTGTTTTTTGCACACTGAAAGCTTTCATGCCTTTGAAGAAATTTTTAGGGAAATGAAACATGGTGGATGAGCTCTGCTGCATCCTTATTTCATAATTACTGTGTAGCTACCAAGCTGATGCCAAGCTCATATTTCCTAATGCTCAAAAATATTAGAGCTTTAAAATCCTGACCATCATGTTGCCCAAAAATTTTGCTCTGCTCAGTTCTGCCTTTCCTAGACCTGATTTTGTAACTGTTTGATTTATGAATACACACAGCATGTTGGGTGTAATATCTTTGTCTTATATATTCCAATGGGTAAAGTACTATGACCATGAAAAAACTGGTATTGACTTTTATTGGTGGGGAGCGGGGTTTGCTAAAATTTCAACAGTACAGCTTTATGTTGTTCTATAGCAGGAGCTTTGTTACATAATTTGCTCAGTTAGACTACAGGCACAGAATCCCTGTTAAGACAATAGTTCATATATATTAGTAGGCAAGGAGTAGCTGGAACACAACATTTTTCTTATTGTGAATCACAACTGCACTATGATGAACCAGAATTCATTTTCATTAACACAAGGAAAAGATTCATCTCTCTTACCTTTTATTTCTGTCTTCTATCTGCAAGATATAGACCATATCATCGGTAGTATGAAGCTTGGAGCTGCTGTCTCCCCATTTCAGCTTCAGGCTTTGAGGACCTGCTGCGGCACACTCTAACCGAGGAGGTGAGGGTGGTAACGGCCTAGTTTTTGCTTTAATAAAGTGGCTAAATGGTCCAGCTCCTATTTCATTGACAGCCTGGATCCTGATCCTAAAACAAACAACAACAAAAAAAAAGTTAAATAAAGTGCTTTTATGAGATTCTTGGTATAAAAAAGTCTCAGTAAACAAAGCAGCCTTCTTCATCACTAACACACTGGCCACTCCCAGCTACGAAAGCTTTGCTTTGGCAAAATACAAGGCTCTGTAAACATAACAAGTATTATCATCCTGTTTATATTGTAAGAGCTGCATTGAAGATAACAACTTTGCTCCAGTATTTAAAGGATGGTATAAAGAAAACAGAGAGTCCCTTTTTAAGAGGAGTAATGGGCACAAGTTAGCCCAGGGGTGATTCCAGTTGGACAGAAGAGGAAAATTTTTCACAATGAGAACAATCAGATATTGGAATAATCTCCCCAGTGAAGTGGTGGATTCCCCAGTATTGGACACTTTAAAGATTCAGCTGGACAGGGTGCTGGAACATCTTGTCTAGACTGTACTTTTGTCAAGAAAGGTTGGACCTGATGATTCTCGAGATCCCTTCCAACATGGTATTCTATGATTCCATGAACTGCAGTAGAGGCAGAGGGAAGAGAGATTTGGGTAAGCAATTTCAGAACCTAATGACAGTCCCTTTAACCACATGAACAAGTAACAACTGGATACAAGTGCAACCTGGGCAACATGAAGTGTGTAACTATGAATAAATAAAATGCAGAAGTGTATTGTGGCTGCCTAACAAAGGTGATGGACCTTTCAAATTTAGGTGAAATCATTAAGCAAAAGCATTGGTGTCATTGCCATGAAACCCATCTCCATGTTGGTAAATATCTCTGAAGACCAAAGAACAGTATTATTTTGGCATGTGCAGCATCTCACAAAGCACATTATTTAAGTACATGAAACTCTACTGGAAAGAACTAACCAAGAAGGTTAAATTCACAAACCATCTGCACATCTCACACAAACTGTGGAAATATTAACCATCAGTGAACTATATGTTAGTTTAAATAAAAGTTGGACTGAAGCCACTTTCTCACAAGATGCACAAAATCTCTCAAGCCATTTGAATCGCATTAAGGACATTCAGAAGAAGGGAAAAGCACACCAACTACCTACCTAGTCATAAGAAGTTTTAATTCAGAAATATTCTTAAGATTGAGCCAATCTTCTAAATTCTATTTCTTTCTTAAGATAATGACTCCTGGCTTCTGCTTTGTCACTTTCTCTTACCTGTCTGCACCTCAGTTTAAGAATTTGCACAATGAGAATCTGCTTATAGGAGTGAGTGAAGAGTCGTCATCTTTACTGTGGTAACATCAACAATCATATGGCACAAAAATGTGAAATATGCATTTTGAAAGAGTTTTGAGGACAGAAATATTGGTACAGATGAGCCTGAAAGGTTTCAAAAGTTTGTTGAATCAAACTGAAAATAAGAGAAAACAGGATGGGCAAACAAATTAGGCTTTTATTTTTGGGTTTTTTTTTTTTTAGACAGTTTAGCCTAGTTTAGATAGCTGGATAGATGCCATTTACACTGGAAATCCTGTGCACAGCAGCCCAATATTTTCTCATGGGAAAGGACTCTGCAAGAAGTGTTGCTTCTCTGCAAAACTATTAGCCATCAAGAAGGCAGAAGTCCCTGGGAAAGGTGAGAGGGGTAGAAGGGAGAAGGGCAGAACATGGTATACCCCTACAACTGCCTGCTTCAGAGAAAGAAGAAGGTAAATAGAACTGTCTGTGGTTGGCATAGCTAGTTATTTTGATTGTAACAAATCAGGACAAGCCATCCCCACTCAGACTGCATTGTTCTGGGGCTGGAGCAAGACTTAATTTTACACTCTACAGCATAAATTTTGTTTTATAACCCACTTAAGCATTGCTAACATGAGCATCCATGTGCACTTATCTCTCTCCATCTTACAATATCTTTTCTTCAATATTGTTTAGAAATCTAAAATGTCTAGAATTTTTATTCCTGAACCAAATTAAGTGTTTCTATTAAAATTTAATAAGGCTACTATGTATTTCTGTAAACCACGTAACTTCAGCAGAAAACAAGCATTCTGAAAAATCGGAAGTTATTTTGCAGTGAAGTATCTCAACAGCACAGCACAATTAACTATGGAGAGCATTAAGTGAAGCTTGGGAACAGAGTGTAACAGAAAATTGGTATTTCTGTTACTGTTGAATACTTATTTATTGTGGAATATTTATTAACTCACTTTTGGTTACATCAGTTCACAGAAAACAGGTCCAAGTACTATTACCCTACAATTTGAGCTTACAGAGCTACATGCCTATGTCAGTAAAACCAAAAGACTGTGGAATTCTCAGACATACTTCTGAAGCTGCTCACCATGTCTATACAGTGCTTTTGTGAGGCATTTGCTTTTTGCAAAAGAAGTGCTGATCTGCGTCTGACATCGGAGAAGTGCTCTTGAAATCAGCCCTACATTGGCAGAAGCATGTCCCAGTTCCTCCTGCCTTGAATGTATTTTGGGATGCAAATCCTTCTTGTGGCATGTTGGCTGGATTTTCTACTAAGACACAGAAACCATCAAACTTTGAGCCCATCTCAGCAAAGAGCCTGGAGTGTGCTGGGGTATACTCAGAGTTGTTCATGTAGGGTTATTCCCATACAGAAGCTGGAGGTAGCAAAGCAACACCAGACCTCAAGTTCAACAGGGTGGACACATGTAGACATGTTAGAATCACCACTATGTAAAACAAGGTTCATTTCCAATTTCGGTCTTGAATTTTTAATAGCCAAGACTTGCTTTCAATTTCAGGTTCCCACAAAAGCATTGACAGTGAAATTCCAATGCAACCAAAACATATTAGCCCTTTGCTGATTTACTTCAATTTCTGCTGAAACTTCAGCAAGAGTTCAGAGTCTCAAAGCCAGTATTTGGCTTGTTTAGTCTAGGAAAAACATGGCCTGGAAGAAAACACATTTGCTGCTTTTAAACACAGCAGGGAATAAACTTGTGACAGAGAAAAGAGACTGTTGAGGTAAACAAAGCTAACATGAGAAGAAAAAACACTGGTGAATAAAATTAGAGAATGAAATCAGTGATGTTCTGCATCAGTCCTTTGATTAAAACAGGAATGGCAAAAAACCCATCATGTTTTAGCATACGGCTTGATAAACATGTTTCTTACAGATACAGATGTTCCCTGGTGAAAGACAGGTGTCAAGATAGGCTTGAAAAAGAAAAACGAGTTAACAATTGATAGCAAAACCACTTTGACATGCCTATTTTTATTAGGAGAAAAATACTTCAAACTATAGGTGAGATGCTTTTACAACTCTACTGCAGTCATTTGTCTTCCTTGATAGGCATGAGATGCAAGATTTGAGGGTTTCTTTCTCTTATTTTATTACAGAGCTTCATATATTATTACTTCTGAGTAATCTACTGGTTTGTGCTCTTCATAATAATTTTTTTTTTTTGGTAGGAACTTTGTTTTACAATAATATATAGAACAGTTGCAGTTAATGCGTGTGCTTTAGCCTTTTCATTCGGATCAGAGATAACCACACTCCCTGACTAAAAATACATTATTTTATTTGCTATGATGCTTTTTACAAAATAATGAAATAAGAAAGCAAAAAGAAAATCAGTATAATGTTAGTGTAACAACTTTTCACAGCAACAGGAGTAAGAGTTTCACAGACAAGACTGCAGCATGATTATAAAGAAGAGTAATGTCCTGCCCATCCTTTCATTCTGTATCTCCATTTCCATCCTGACAAGGATGTTTCCCTGAAGGAAGCTGTAGACAACCAAGAACCAGCTAAAAATGAGACTGAAGTAGGAAGACTTCAGTGAAGAACTTAGATGGTCCAGCCTGGCTGTCTTGACTGGGTTGCTCAAAGCTCTCATTTTGCTTTAGATGTTTTGACTCCTGCTATGAGGAGAAACCAGGGAGTAACAAGACTGCCCAGAGATGATGAAGTTCCATGGCCCAGTGCCCAGTCAATAGACAAACTCTTCAACTTCTTATTAGATTTATTTGGTTTTTGCAATCAGTTGGGTTCCCTGGTCTGGCTTAGAGTAAGATCACATAAGTACCAGTACCAGTGCCAGTGCCAATGGCAAAGCAGAGAGTGAGAAACGTGTGAGAACATACAGATGGAATAGTCATAACAACAGCAACCTGAATTTGCTCAAACTGTTGTGCAGCTTTACTCATGTGTAGTAGTTTCACAAGCACTTTGAACTGGCTTAGAGCACAGCTACTAGAAGAGGTGGTCCTATCCTTTTCTACCCCTTCCTTTCTTCTTTGTTCATTTACAATGTAAGAAGTATGATTGGTTTTCAAAAAGACCAGTTTTTACAGTGTGGAATGGCGTAATAGCCCTTTGATGGCATAAAGGAGGACACAATGCAAGGATGTAAGAGGCTTCCTTTGACAACACTGCCAGATTAAACTGACCACAAAATTAGGATCTTAAATAAACACAGAAGACTGCTAGAAAAAAACTTTTACTTCATTACTGCCTTTGCAAAAAAGGATCACAGCATTACAGGCCATGGAAGAACTGGCAATAACAATGATAACATACTGACATGTCCTGGATTTATGAGTGATCTGGAACAGAGGGGTTCTGAATCACCAAATTCCTATTCTGCCTTTTTTTTTTTCCAGATTTCTAGAGGTGTGTATATATATATGTATATATACACACATAAATAAATCTATGTCTTTAGTTTTTATTACATGGTTTAAAAACCTAAATATCTTAGGCAAAGATCAGGAACTACGGTACTACACACCGGAAGCAACATAAGCTCCACACTTTAAATAACTTCTAATTATACATATTTGTGTATTTGCTACAAGAAGTTCTCTATTTTGGGTACATGATAAAGTTTGAGAATTAACTTTTGATTGAAACTTCACAAGACCTGTGGGATTTTGACAATGAATACAAACAAAAAAGAAACATGCTACAGAAGATCTGTCCTATGTCTAATTTCACAACTGGGCAATCAGATAACCAGATTTCAGTTTTTATTAGAGCAGTACTTAAAATAGAATTTCTTTTCTCACATCTTCTGCTGTACTGCTGTTCACTGTCTGCATGGAACCATATTTTTATTTTAATTGGCAGTTAGGGAAAAAACATACAAGCCCGAACATAATAATAATACTAAAATGTTGGCAATGTCAATTAGAAATTGAGACTCTGAAGAAATATGAAGAAATTGGTTTAAAATTCACATTATCTGTTTACTAATCTCCATGTGCTAAGCCAAAAAAAAAAATAGCTGTTGCCATACAAATAAAAGTTCATTGCGTGCACATTGCTATCCCCTCACTGGGGTCAATATAGTTAGTAGTATAAGCCCCTGAAACAGTAACGCTATACATCTGAAAGACCAGAAGATGTCACATTGTAATTTTAATACTTTCCCATTTTTAAAGTTTATTTACCTACCAGTATAACCTCACCTTCGAACAGAAACTTAGAAAGGTCAGAAATATGCAAGGAGAGGAGAAAAAGGAAGAAGGTGGGGATGAAGCAATATTTAAACACAAACTACCTCAATTCATTCCATAAAGGAATTATTGCAGATTTCCATTCTCCCCAGGTTGGTTCGTTTGGTTGCTGGTTTACTTGTTTATTTAACTGAATCCATATGCCATAAACATTTTCTACATAAAATTAAAGTGCGTGATCTCATCCTCAGAGCTCTGTACCACATCAAAAAAAGTTGTACTCACCGGTATGAGGTTTCTGGCAGCAAATTAGTGATAACATAACTTGTAACTTTTCCTACTGGAATGCTGATGTCACCCAGGTCAATGTTGTATGATGTAATCTCAGCTCCATTATTGCATGGTTCTTCCCAGTTCAGTACAAGGCACACGGAAGGTGAATGCTGACAGGCATCCACATGCTCATCCTCCAGCACGGAGAGCGTACAGACAGCATCAGGCACAGATGCAGGGATTCGGCAGGTTACCACATCACTGTAAGGTCCAGCTCCTGCCTGGTTAATAGCCTGTGTGTAAAAAAAAGTATTCTCTTTCACATGCCTATCAAGTTCATAATAATGAACTGTGCAACCTGGAAGAGTTGCATGGATTTTTCAGAGGAGAAGTACTGCTAGCTTATTTTCTAAAGCAGGACTCATGCCCGCTACTTAGACACACTAGGTTCTCATGAATGGCATGTAAGAGACCATACTACCTTCCCTTGAGCTCGGTTTGTCCTGATACGGTCCAGCATGCTGCTAGCCCACGAGGTACACACAGACCTGATGACAGCATATTATGTGTAGGCTGAGCTACAATGAGGTCCAGAAGGCACAGACCTTCAAAAGAAGCTTCCACATTGCCCAGCATTGTCCACCATCCTTACTTCCTCTGCTCTTGGAAAAGTGAGCCCAGATTCTCCCACCAGGTGAGAATTAATTAGAAAATCCAGGTTTACAACGTTGCCAGTAGAACTATGATGGCAATGAAAGGACACATCAAATAATTGTTTGATTTCTTATCTATGCTTAACTGTAGTAAATGACTTATTTCTGTTATGCATAATGCAAACGCAAAGCTGTATTCTGTTTCTCCAGGAGGCATTTTGTTCAATTGAAGAAGCGATAATGAAGTTAGATCTGTCAGCCTTTAAAAAGCCCTTCAAAACAAATCCTGCTCCAGGGTCATCTTTTATTTAGTGAAGCACTCCTAGAGCTGTTAAAAGTGAGCCTTGTTTTGTGGTCTGCCAATGATATTATTTGTCTTACCTCTAAAACAGCGTTTGGCAATCTGTATCTTGCTCGAAGCAATTTATTTTCAGTGGTGCTTTTAACTGCTTTATTGGTGAATCTCATCATCATAACCAGTGGGAATTTCATTATTCTTTTCTTCCTAGATACTTCTCCCCACCACCCCTAAATGACACAATATTTCCCTTTGCAGAAGTCACATTTTTTTTCAGGAATATTCATTACAGGAGAAAAGCTGAGCAACAGTAAAGACAATTGTCTGCCCTGCAGTTATATATGCCTGATTGCTCAATTCTCTCTTTTTTATTGAGTTACTGTAGATTGAGGTAGCAATACTGTGTGTTTATTGGAAGGCAAAGTCAATGCGGTTTGAAGTATCTTTATTTCTAAAAAGCAAAAGATTTTTCTTTTAAAGCTGCTAACAGATAAAACAAGCTATTAACCTCTCATTTTTGTTTTAAAAGACTAAAATTTCTGTAACTATTTAACTTTACATCTTTGTCTGCTATACATAGTTGGTTCTTCTTTTCTGTGTAATTGTTTAAATGTTCCAGTGTATCTTATAACAAATCTTCTTCACATGATACACAGACGAGATCCAGAGGATCAAGCCCTCTACAAAGTAATGCAGGGGTCACTGATGGACTTCAAGAAAATATCTTAATGCTGTTGCACATTTGATTTAACTTCTGCTTTTGAATTAGATATCGGCTGCGTTAAGAACCGGCTACAGTTGTGCAACATTTTTGTGGCAGGTAATTTAAAATGAATGCCCACTCAAAATCAAAGGTGCTATAGAGTCAGCTGTTTCCATTTTTAACATGAAAATCTCCTTCAGCTCCCTGCTGCTCACCGCAGAAGTGGTCTCACAGTCTCCTTCCTGCCCAGTGGATGTTGAATGCTTTCCCTCTTGCGCAAACAAGAGGCACTTTCTGGCTCACGCTTCCAAGGCACTCACACATGCTCTTTCAGTCTGCCTTCCTCAACAGTGCCAGCGCAAGGTAGACACTCAGCTATGACCAGAAAATGCAGTTGAGTGTACTTAGAGCTGTGGGGCCTTAGCTCTTTGGCTGCTGGCCAGCTGCTCAAAGGCTACTTCATAAATAAAAAAAAAAAAGTAAAAAAATCTATGTCCTGTTAAAAAAAAAACCCCAACCAAACCCAAGAATGAAACACTCGACAGAAGCATGTTGTCCTTGATCAAAGAAATAATCCTGGGTGGCCCACATGTTGCGAGTTGGGTGGATACATGAACTTTTGGTTGAGTTACTGGTGGTATTCTGTCTTCACATACAAATAAATCTTGTGGAAAAGTGTCTTGGGTAAAGAGTATTTTTACTTCACTCCCACTTTCTTTATTTTTCATTTATTTTTCAGTAGACTTAAAGGAGAAATGCTGTATTTTTATTTTCATATATATATGTAAGAAATATATTCTGGTACTTTTTATTGAAAATAATAGGAGAGAAAGAGATCAAAGAAAAAAGAAATCATATAGAGACTCTGTATGAAATCCTACCTTACAAACCTAAGAGGAAAAATTATAACGATGAGGACTCACTTTCTGGCAGTTACAACCTCCTATATACATTGGAATATACTCAGATGGTTTCCTTTATTTGATAAATGAAACAGATGTTGAGTTTACTATTTAAGCTAAGAGAATCTTCAACATCCAGTTGGGAGGTAGATGTTACATCTCATTGCCAAGAAAAAAAATATTTTTTTTTTCTAAAACATAATTCTGGTCTAATACCAGAGGGCAAAGTGGCTGTTAAAAGCATTGTTTACTGAAATAAATCACACAATACAAAAGAGCAACTTTTGAGAGGTAAAAGTCACACTGACTCTCTTGTTCATCACTTTGAATTGCGCAGAATCTAAACTGTTCAGTTATATAGCAACAGTCTGCATTATTTAAAATAAACATACCTTCTGACTCACAAAGCACATAACCTCATAGTGGCTAATGATAAAAATAAAAACACGGTGGAAAGAAAACATTTACGGCTTAGATTGAAACGCATGCAAAACCTTGTAACTTCCATACCTGTAGCCTACAGCAGTAATGCGCTGCCGCTGACAAGTCACTTATTTCAAAACAGGTATCTGTGCCATTATATACCAGTTCTAGAGATTCCTCGTCTTCTCCCCACTCTAATCTGTATTCAGAGATGTCAGCACCAGAACATTCAAGACTCTGCAACACAAATATTTATGTGGTTCAGTTCAGATCTCTGTGTTTCGCTGAGTACAGAATAAAGTACATAGGAAACAAACCAACCTGTTTTTTAAATTAATACATGTTCTCTACTAGGTTACTGAAACAGTCCAATTCTGCGCAGAAATTACCTGACGGGAATTCACAGAAATGAGAAAGTGTACACAGCTACTTTGCTTTTCATCTGGATACTCAGGAATAAATTGTCTCTCCACTGGCTTGGCAGAAACACAACCGTGCAGAACACACAAAAACATCAATCTAGTGTAGTCTAGCTGAGTGATCAAAACACAGCTGTGGAAGAGCTACCTGTCAATGCTGAAGTAGTCACTCACTGAGAAAACTTCTGAGAAAAGAACAACCTCAACAACTGAGAAGCTTGTCTGCAGTTTTCAGTGAAAGTCACCCATCAAGCGAATGGTCCCAGGATGGGACATGGAACTGTGGACCTGGGTACATTAACGTCCACAACGACACTCCTACGGGTTCCATATGTCCTCACAGCAATGCTTTTATCATCCTGAAGTCTAGGGGAACATGGAATAAATACTGAATTTGCTGGAGATGAGCTACTGCAGCAATAATGACAAGGTTCCAAAACCAAAATATTTAGTGTTTTTACCAGAACTACCTAGAACCGCACTGTGCAGCTTGAAGCAGCTCAAAGAATCACTGCTCTACGTGCAGAACTGTGGCCTAGGATACAACAAAGACTTTGTGATTACGGCATACAAGGAGTGATTTTCAGTAAATAGATCCAGGGCATCACTGCACGCCACAATGACCACCCTCTGCACGCACATGGGCTTCTCTAGCTCTGTCTCTGAGCATCTAGCTATTTTAGTAGCAGCATTCATAACTACTAAGCCAGTGTTTTAAATCAAGGTGCAAAAAAGGTATAGTGGGCACCACGGTGTGCTCTGTAGCCAGACAAAAAACTCCACAGTCCTCCACTGTTTTTCCTTCATATTTGATCAGCCAAAAAATGGTAGACTTTTTAAGAAAACATAACCATTGCAAACCACATTACTCCTTCCACAGCTTCATTTTTAGCTAGAACAAACAAATATATCCTGCATATAAACACAGAGCCTACCAGAAACACAGCTGCATTGGCTTATGGCTGGGAAAAGCAAATGCCTGTACATTCATACTCTTACTAAAGGGTAGTATTTAAAGGTTCAGTGTGACTTCTAGCTTAGTGCCACAGAATGTTGCAAGAAATATTAGCAAATACCCTCAACCTACACAAACTGCACCTATTTCACTATAAAATTAAACTCAGTTTATGTTTTTATCTAGAAATGGTTGTTAGAAAAATTTATTTATTTGAGCATCTGATGAATGTTAACAACTTTCTAGGGGCATCCCTTTATGGAAGGACCCAACTGATGCAGGGCTGGAACGGCTGCTAGGTTTTCAAAGGCAGTCTATGGCAGAACTACAGCCCCACTGCTCCATAGCATGTTCTTTATGACAACATCTTTTCCTTTCTTCCTTAATTACATGATTTTCTGTTTTTTTTTTTTTTTTTTTTGGTGACACTTATTAACTCCTCTTAGTATTTAGATAAGCCTGATTTTAAGAGCCCAATGTCCAAGGTTCTGCAGAATGGAGAAGGAATGAACACAAACTAAAACAAAAGTAAATATCTGGGGAAGAGACAAACACTTTTTGAGGAAAAAAACATACATCATAAGCATTTCTGCAGTTATTTTCATATTGGAGACTCCAATTGCAGCCAAAATCAAATATTTGCCTTCACAATTCCACCCCAGGACATGCCGACATGCTAAAAGCCTGTAGAGAGCATTTCTACCCAATCAGCCCTCTGTCATCTGACGCCAGTATAAGGAGGTCTCATGTCTAAATCCTGGTCCAGATGACTCATAATCAACTTCATGTGATCTTTTTAAGGAGAAAAGTAGAGAAGATGATTTTCTACCAACAGAAGAGTTTCCACAAAGGGTTGTTTTTATACAAAAGATAATTCCAAACCAGTGACTAGCTCTCAATCTAGCTTTCAAGTGGCCATATTAGTTTGGAGAAGCAAGACAAAAATAAAACAATGAGGGCACCCAACTTACCTCCCAGCTTATAAGTACACATGTGTCGGACAGAAAGGAGAGGGAAGGTGCTCTGCACTGGCCAGGCGGTCCTGCTGCTGTGGTGACTTCTGTAGCTTCTGAATATGGCCCGTACTAGAGGGGAACAAGGTGTCTGTACATTAATATATGAGCATACACCCATCTCACATTCTTCAATGGCTTTCCAAGAACAGCACACTACAATAAACTTTCTCAAAGGTAGACCAGGCTTCCAACACTCGGCACCAGAGCTCAGTATGAGATAGGTGAATTACTGCAACATTAAAAGGTGAGGTAAGTTCAGGTATGAGCAGATAGCATGTAAATCCTCCTGTGTGGCAATGAGTGCCCATGAAAGCCTAAGCCACCTCCAACTTACCTAAAAGTGAGAATGTGCACTCAGCAACTGAGGAACAGTTTGCATCTCTCTACCTTACCTTAATGTGTTCATATGTCTGTGCCATAGTCCAGCATAACTGGCTTCTCGTGGATATAAGGAGCACAGCAACGGTAAAGCACATACTGGACTCCAAATCCAGCTTCTTTTATATAAAATGCCTGCTACATGTTAATTACAAAAAGACAGCATGTGATGGAGCCCTGGGTTCAACATGCAGGGGCATGATGCACACACACTGTCTACGGCCTAGCTCCACAGGCAGCTAAGCCACCTGCTCAGACAACTTTTGAGCCCTTGGTAGGAGAGTAATTTAAATGCATGTTAGCAAAAGAAAAGACAATTTTCAAGAGTCTGGAAAACTGTCTTCAGCCAGCACTGTGAGGACGGGAGAGATAACAATAGAAATAGCATTTTTCTGAGGCTTCTTGAGTGGGAAAATGAAGTTTGTTCAGCACATCCCCAAGCTAATTAGAAATCATTCTCCAGAACAAAGGAACTTTGCTGGAATCAATGAGAGGAAAAACACTGGTATTTACTTATTTTGGAATGCAATACTAGCAAGTATGAAAAAAATGAGCCACTACAAGTGCTGAACACTGAAATTATGAACCCCAGAAATGTATGAACCTCAACAGGATGTATCAGTATTTATGCTATTAAGAAAGGCTAAAACTGCTCACTTTGTTTGAATTACAAAGAATGCACACTCCAAAAAATCTCATTTATTGACTACTTTTGTGTTCTTCACTGAATGGGAGGAAGAAAGGTGTTTGCAACTGGTAAAGGACACTCCCCTATATTCTGCATCTTGGTTGGTAAAAAACCCCAATCAAAACCCAAACCAGCCACCTCATTTAATAAACGGTAGGATTAGAAATGCTTTGCAACTTAAAACAGTGTTTTACCATTAAAGCAAAAGGAGAAAAAACAAAAAGGGCAAAGCATCATATATCCAAAACTACAGGGTGGGCAATGGCTTCCATTCCAGTAAGCAAATCCAATCTTTCCACATGTATTTACTTTGTGTTTCACAAAAAAACCCAAACAAACGTGGACATTTTAAAGACAAAGCAGTTTAATAGTCTTGCATATATTTCTAATACCTAACTTAAGTTTTAACAGAACTCTTCAGGAACCTGCTTAGTAAGGTTCCATGGGATATAGCCCTAGAGGGCAGGGGGGCCCAAGACTCTTGGTTGATATTCAAGGATAACCTGCTACAAGCTCAGGAGTGTTGCATCCCAACTAGAAGGAAGTGCAGCAGGAGGGCCAGGAGACCTCCTTGGATGGATAAGGAGCTGCTGAGGAAAATTTAAATGAAAAAAGAGGCTTATAAAAGGTGGAAGCAAGGACAGGCGGCCTGGGAAGAAAACAGGGATACTGTCTGGGAAGCTAGGGACGAGGTTAGGAAAGCTAAGGCCCAGTTAGAATTAAATCTGGCTAGGGATGTGAAAGATAACAGGAAGGGATTCTATGGGTACACTTAGAATAAAAGGCAGACTATGGACAACATGGGCCCTCTGCAGAAGCTAATAGGAGAACTGACTACCCTGGATTTGGAGAAGGCTGAGGTTCTTAATGACATCTTTGCCTCCGTCTTCACTGGCAAATGCTCTGACCACACCACCCAAGTCTTGGAAGGCAGATGCAGGGACTGTGAGAATGAAGACCTTGGGCCCACCGTAGGAGAGGAATTGGTTCGAGACCATCTTAAAAATCTGAACGTGCACAAGTCCATGGGTCCTGATGAAATCCATCCACACGTCCTGAAGGAGCTGGCGAATGAAGTTGCTAAGCCGCTGGCGATCATATTTGAAAAATCATGGCAATCAGGTGAAGTTCCCTACGACTGGAAAAAGGGAAATATAACCCCCATTTTCAAGAAGGGGAAAATGGATGACCTGGGGAATTACAGACCAGTCAGTCTCACCTCTGTGCCTGGCAAAATCTTGGAGCAGATTCTCCTGGAAGGCATGCTAAGGCACATGAAAAACAACAAGGTGCTTGGTGACAGCCAGCATGGCTTCACTAAGGGGAAATCCTGCCGGACCAATTTGGTGGCCTTCTATGATGGGCCTATGGAACTGATGGACAGCAGTAGAGCAGTTGACGTTATCTACCTGGACTTGTGTAAAGCATTCGACACTGTCCCACACGACATCCTTGTCTCTAAATTCGAGAGACATCAATTTGATAGGTGGACCACTCGGTGGATAAAGAACTGGCTGGATGGCCGCACACAAAGAGTTGTGGTCAATGGCTCAAAGTCCAGCTGGAGACCAGTAACGAGTAGTGTCCCTCAGGGGTCGGTGTTGGTAAGAATCCGGTTCAACATCTTTGTTGGCGACATGGACAGTGGGACTGAATGAGCCCTCAGCAAGTTTGCTGATGACACCAAGCTGTGTGGTTCAGTTGATACGCTGGAGGGAAGGGATGCCATCCAGGGGGAACTTGACACACTTGTGAGGAGGGCTGATGCCAACTTTATGAAGTTTAACCATGCCAAGTGCAAGGTCCTACACCTGGGTCAGAGCAATCCCAGGCACAGCTACAGGTTGGGCAGAGAAGAGATTCAGAGCAGCCCTGTGGAGAAGGGCTTGGGGGTGTTGGTAAATGAGAAACTTAACATGAGCCGGCTTCAGTGTGCTCTCACAGCCCAGAAAGCCAACTGTACCCTGGGCTGCATCAAAAGCAGTGACCAGCAGGTCGAAGGAGGTGATCCTGCCCCTCTACACTGCTCTTGTGAGACCTCACCTGGAGTAATGTGTGCAGTTCTGGTGTCCTCAATGTAAAAAGGACATGGAACTTTTGGAACAAGTCCAGAGGAGGGCCACGAGGATGATCAGGGGACTGGAGCACCTCCTGTATGAAGATAGGCTGAGAAAGCTGGGGCTGTTCAGCCTGGGGGAAAGAAGGCTGTGAGGAGACCTCATAGCAGCCTTCCAGTGTTTGAAGGGGGGCTACAGGGATGCTGGGGAGGGACTATTCATTAGGGACTGTAGTGATAGGACAAGGGGTAAAGGGTTAAACAGGGAAAGTTTAGATTGGATATAAGGAAGAAGTTCTTTACTGTAAGGGTGGTGAGGCACTGGAATGGGTTGCCCAGGGAAGTTGTGAATGCTCCATCCCTGGCAGTGTTCAAGGGAACCTTGTGTGAAATGGTTTATTGTAAGGTGTCCCTGCCCATGGCAGGGGGGTTGGAACTAGATAATCTTGAGGTCTTTCCCAACCCTAACTGTTCTATGATACTAACCCCAAGTAAGTGTATACTTTAAACCTTCTTGTTATCTTTGTCATAAAGATTCCCTTGGAATAAACACATCAACATGCATGTACTCTTGCTGGGGCTGCCTTTATAAAAGCTCTTGGGAAAGATGCTCTTACAAAGTCAAGCAGAACTGATCCAAACCTGACTGAATCAACAAGATCTTCCAAGAAAAAAGAAGGAATGTGGTGGAAGAGGAATATATAGAGGTCTCCTCATAAGCAGGTATGACTTTTAGCAGGGGTTTTGCACATTTTGGTGCAGCTGATTTTGGCCAGTCAAATCATATTACTAGCTAAAATTTCCTTTTAAAAGAGTACCAGAGTTAAAACTGCAGCTCTTCCTCCAAAGTTCCTTTAAGCATTTCTCACTTCATTTTCTTTTGGCTATCTCCCTATTACCTATCTGATCACCAGCATTAACACAGTCACTCTCCATCTTGGACACAGTACCACAGTGAGAAAAAGCCAAAGCACATTCTGGCACGCTGCACGTACCCCACCATCATTCAGAGCTCTCACTCTGAACCGGTATGTTGCTCCAGGAAGAAGGTTGCTGACGGTGCACTCCAGATCAGGCCCATGATACACTTCAGAAACTACTTCCTCAGGTTCTGTCATTTCTACACTATACTCTGAGATGGGACAGCCACTTTCTGACGGAGGGACATCTAGAAAGAAATCATATCATTCATTAAGAATAAAGGACGCATGCCAGGGAAGGTAATTTTTTATTTCCTATACCACAGAAGTATATGTGCGTAGCTATATCCACACACATATATCGACACACACACACTACCAAAAATGATTATCCTCTTCAATAGATGCCTTACCTGCAGTATCTCATCCATGTACATGATTGAGAATCTTAAAGCAAATTAATAAAATTACTCTTAGCCCTACATATTCACCAGGTCATATTATTCCATGCATGAGAAGCACCTCCCCCAAGCAATGATCTGTTAACCTGATAAGTCATATTTGATGCCAGGAGGTGCCCACCTACTTTTGAAGCAGAACATGATAGTTACTATCATCTTCTAAGGATGAAAAAAGAAAGTACTCTGCTGCTTTTCTCCAGTCTCAAAGGTGGTGTTGCATGCAAAGAAATTGCCAGTGAGGCAGGAGACAAATGTATAGGAAGCTGCATGAAGCATAGGGCTAGTGCTGAATACACCCTTTCTGGGATAGAAAAATGAGGAAGCACATGTGGTAGCTCTCTCACCCAATCTTAGCTGCTGGCTACAGCTGGAAACAGCAGAGGAGGTGGGTCATGAACACTCTGAAACTACTACTCATATGCAGGATTTCTGGCAAAGCCCCACTAACACCCAATAAAAGTACGAACAACGGCCATCCTTGAACTTTATTAGTCACACTGCTAACATTTATGAGATTCTACATCCCTGTGCTTCACCTGGAACAAGCTTTTTGGAAAGCTAAATTTGTTTTCTATGTCTGTATCTGTTTTGTTGTGGGCACCTTCTTCTCCATGAAAACAATATATTTGACACTATTTGCATGTTATTTTACAAGCCAGTACCGCATAATCAACCTGCCTGGGGTTCTGAAAAGCAATGCTCCACCACAACAGGGATAGCGTAAGCATTCAGGAAACAATATGGTATCTTGGATGCACAGATGAATTTATGCTGGTGTTGAGATACATTTGTCAGTTAAAAATCGTACTGCTCTAAAATTTTGCTTAATGAATGATGCAACAAAGAATCTTGGATGCTGCAAGATTATCATGGTAAAGAAAAAAAAATCTGTTGGATATTGGCTTGTACATTTGTCCTGGGTTCAGCAGTTCTCCTTCTTGGTAGCTGGTGCAGTGCTGTGTTTTGACTTTTGGCCTGGGAACAGAGCTGATAACAATGATGTTTTGGTTTGGCCAAGGACTTTGTGTGCCTCATGGTCTGCCAGGGAGGAGGGGAAGCCGGGAGGAAGCAGAGACAGGACACCTGATCCAAACTGACCAAAGGGGCATTCCATACCACAGCACGTCATGCCCAGGAGGTAATGGAGAGTTATCCGGAAGGGCTAGGAGACTGCAGGGTTGGAGGAGATATCAGTTGGTGCTTGGCTGGGCTAGAGGATGAGTTATCAGTCAGCTGGTGGTGAGGTGTTGTATTCTCTTCCCTTGTTATTTCCTTTAGCATTATTATTACTGGTGGTAGCAGTAGTGATTTATGTTATACCTTAGTTACTAAACTGTTCTTATCTCAACCCCTGGGAGTTGCATTCTTTTCAATTCTCCTCTCTGTCCCTCTGGGAATAGGGAGAGGGAAAGAAGTGGGGGGGAGTGAGTGAAAAGCTGTCTGGCTGGGGTTAAACCACGACAACATTGTATTCTAAAAATGTGCATTATTTTTTTGCAGTCTAGTGTCATGTCCATGGTCCAAGTTCTTTGCAAAATTGCAGGTGACCAATGGACTGTGCATGTTATACTGTGGATCAGGGTTTAAAAGCCACTCAAAATCCTCAAAATGTTCTAACTCGAATTTCTGAGAGAAGTCATAGAATCATAGTTCAGGTTGGAAAGGACCTTAAGATCATCTCATTTCAAGCCCCCTGCCATGGGCAGGGCCACTTTACACTAGACCAGGTTGCTCCAAGCCCCATCCAACTAAGCCTTGAACACTGACAGGGATGGAGCATTCACAATTTCCTTGGGTAACCTGTTTCAGTGACTCACCACTCTCACAGTAAAGAGCTTCTTTATATCTAACCTAAATCTCTCCTGTTTAAGTCCTATATTAGAAGTAGCAACCTGCTTCTGCTAAGTCAGTATTACAAAGGAATAAAAAACATCTTGAATCACATGGTGTTTTTGCAATAAAAGGACAGATATTCTAAAATAGCTGATACTTTATAGATCTGGTATAGAAACAGGTCCCAACTAAAATAAAAATAGGAGCACAGTATCAGGCCTATAAGATAGCTGCAGGACAGCTAAGTTCAGAAACCCAATACAGAGACACAGCAGTTGATGAGAAGATGTATTTCTGACTTGCACAAACTTCACTTGACTTTGTACTTCTCAGTGCACAGAATACACTGGAACTTTTCACAAGGTCTAACAACAGAAATAAAACTAAAGCAAGTTCAGCAACTAACCATCAAGATCAAAGCATCAACATCACATCATCAGCAGTGAAATGCTCTAACAGCTTACCCCATTGTAGCTGTACTTCTTTGTGCTTCGGCTTCCCCAACACTCTTGGTGGCCGACAGTGACCAGGTGCAACACTCAGTGTACGGACAGGTAAACTTTCAGAACACTGGAAGAGAACAAGAGCTGAAGTCACCTCTCTGGTACAATTACTGCCTACAAAGTGACACAGGATTAGAAAGTGGCACAAGAAATTGTTTCCTAAAACAACCACTTATTAGAAATTTGTATTAAACAATAAAGGCTAGGAGATGCTATCAAGCATGTTACTTATAAATGCAATTTATGATAGAGTTCTTTCATCAGCATACTCACAACTGTAGCATAGGAAAATTTGATGGCTAATGTTATTGGGTTCTTAAGTTCAATTTTCCTTATTTTTATAATAATATCAAGCCTAAAGTACTCAATCATTAAAAAAGGCAAAAAAAAAAAAAAAAAAAGGCAAGCAAGAGGAATACAAGTGTAGGCACTGAAATTATTCCTCAAAGGAGCGAATGACAGGAATCAGAATCTGGAAAATGGAACCCAAAACTTTAAAGAAGAATTCAGCCATGTGAAAGGTAATTGACTATTACAACAAACTACCCCTACTGCATGCCCAGCTTGTCAGTACAGGCTCATGTACATGAAAGTCTATGGCCTTTCTCAAGCAAGTAGCCAGATCAGATAAACAGCATAGTCTTTTCTAGTGTAAGTATAAACACCTACAGTTTGGTTTTGAAGAAACCTAATCTCATTAAATTGCAATCTGCCTGAAAAAATCCCATCAGGCAGACAGAAGCCTTACAAAATTCACCAACTTGCAACATAAGATTAAATGTAATCAGTAAAGTGTAGCTTTACTGCGCTACAGGAAAAGTATTCACCTTATTTTTAAAGAATAAATCTTTTACCAAAAACAGGGGATAGATCTCTGAAAAATATAAACCCAATAGTCCTTACTGTTAAACAATACCTACCTGACTGTGTCCACCAGTGCTAATACAGCATGCCCGGAGTTTATACAAAGTGCCTGGTTTCAAGTGAGTACAGGTATATTCTGTAGCTGATCCACTATATGCCACTTCCCACTGATTTGCTAAAAAAGGAGATATATCCAAGTTTAGATAACTATAATGTAACAAGTTCAGAAGTGTCTAGGAAAATCCTTAATGTAGTCATCCACAACTGATGTATTTCAGGGAAGTCATTAGTGTTAATATTACTATGAATGGTACTCCATCCTAAAAGACATACATACACATAGACATATATACAAGTATTTTTAAAACCATTAAATATATTAAATCAAACAGTAGGCTCATCAATAGAGCCTAAAATTCTACCAGTAGAAAAGAAAAATAGCATTATTAAAAAAGCCACACCAAAACCTCCCCAAAACCCAACCCAAACTCTCTCACAAAACCTGCATGTACATAACTCAGTTTCAATCATATGTAGAGTATAAGTGCATTAATAAAAGTAATAGCTCAAAGGGTCAGAAATTCTTTATAGCAGCCATAACAGAATGAAATGGAGGCAACTTGTTTCAACATCACCTTCTGGGCTTCCTTGAGAAATCTCTAGTAGATACTTTAGGATTTCTGAGCCACCATTATCCTGTGGAGGATCTGAAAAAATAAGGTAATTTGTCAAGATTAGGAGTGAAATATAACACTTGATAAAGAAGCTTTTTCTGATTCTGCTCCTTCTCCTCCATAAAATCCCCCACAGTAACTACACCAAGGAATTTATACTAGAAGTATATAGCAGACATTAGTTTTCAGCATGAGTCAGAATAAGGCAGCTGGATAATAACACCACAGACAAAATTATGGAAAAAGCATTGAAAAAGATGCAGCATAGAGGCTTGTCTATCGATGAAGGAAGCAGCTAGAATGATGCTGCAACAGGACAAGAAATGTAAGGTGAAAAGCTTGAAGACGCACTTGAGTGCCAGTTAGTCAAAAACAACATTCTACATTTTCTTATTCTGAAAGGTAAGAGTCTCCACACAGTTTTTAAGATGTTGAAACAAATTAAGTTGGAAAGCTCTCCAAGTTTAACTATGGATGAGAAGCAGCATGAAAAAAACAAAGTTCTAATACATATTTCATACTTACATAATTTTATTAGAACTTATTATGACCCAGAAAAGCTCTACTAAGACAAACTGAACTGGCTTACCCCACTTCACGCTAAAGCCATGAGATGTTATTGGCCCCTTAATAATGGGTCTGGTTGGAGGTCCTGGCCTGTCTGGGCTTGTTGTACAGACCAACACTTCACTGGGAGAACTTTTTCCTTCCACATTAGAAGCAAACAGCTGAAACAAAACCACCACAAGTTTACCATTGTTTACTGTAACTGTTTTTCTGACGGTTCTGGATGAGACTTGTTTTAGCAATTGCACAGATATCATTAAACTGAAAAGTACGTCACATCCCAACAAAGTGTGTAGGATATAATAACAGATGTAAAATTGCCATGTTGTTTCCTTACAAACCACATGGATTTCTTCCTTCCCTCCACTAGCAATAGATCATGACATGTTTAAGACAAGAGCACTGCTATTTTTTCCTTAAAGTCATGTAGCAGTTATTTACTCATAAAAGATTAAAATGATAATAACCATGCTATTTTTGTTTTGGTTGTATTTCAAATTGCTATTTAAAATAAATTAATTCACAGTATCAGTAATCACAATTAAAGGCTTAAATAGGATGACACACAAACAAGAAACACATAATCTACAACCACTGAAATGAGTAGGATGTGCACAAAGAAAACTCTCAGCCAAATCCTTTGTCTCAAGAGCACCTTCTCCTGACATCAGGAAAAGGTTGCTAAGCTAAGACATGAGGACCTGGTCAGGAGACTGAACAGATCAAGATCATACAAGAAACTCCAAATGGTCCTATGTTTCGTGGCTGCTGAGAGCTCTATTAGCTCACACTAGTCTCTGGGACAAAGATCCACTGCCAGGAAGTGAGTAATAAAATATGTATTATAATTGCTAACTGTAAATATAAGCCAGCAGGAACTTTTCTACTTGGGAAGCTCTGTTATTCTCAGGAGCAGTCATTTCTATCCTCTCTCCTAACACAGGCATCTGAGGGAAACTATTTGTAACTTTTAAGGCCAAAAAGTATGCTTGCTTTAAAGAAGTCACTAAAGCGACTATCAACTCCTGTATATCATCTCTTGGTTCTTCTCTGGCTGTTCTCCACTTTAAGACATCTTGCCATGAACACCAGATACACGAGCTAGACAAATATCCCAGTAACAGCTCTAGGGAATCAGTGTGAGCTGCTAATGCAATGCAATATTTAAACATTTCCCCTATGTATACAGCTGAAGGCTGCACTAGCCTGTCAGGAGCCGAAAATTCCAATTAAACTGATTGTTCAAGGAGGAACTTGTCGGAGCCACAGCCTCCCCAGCCTAGAGTCCCCCATCCTCTTACATGGAATAAAAATAAAACTTTTGTTTCCAGGTCACTGATAAAGTTATGAAACAGTATACCCAGCACTGCTTTTTGTGGAATCTCAATAGAAACAGCCATTGGCGATTCCCTTCTGTGCTGACACTTCAGACATTTCAGAGAATGAAATTACTGCACGTTTTTCTGTTGGTATCATTTGCCCTTCTGTGCCAAAACCTCACCTGGTATCAAACAAATGCCTTTACAACAGTGTACTACACTGCCATTGCCACTTTAATTAACCAACCTTTATTTCATCAAAAATCATAGCAAGGTGTCTTCTCTGTAAGCAAACACTGTCTGGTATGAATTAAATTATCCCATAATTCTTTACTGTTAAGGGGGTTCTACAAAGCACTGTATTTTGCCCAGGTTCAAAGACAAGCCAGTAGCCCCCACCACAAGTTTTAAAACACTGCTGTCATCCCATGGTGTCTGTGTTTGGTTTTGTTGGTGTTGTCTTATAGTTTGGGGGATCCTTCCCCAAGTCCTGTAGCTAATGCTGATATGCATGCAACAAGAGAACACCTCCGTGTTGAGTCAGATCAGAGTTGTGCTTGTAGCCACTGACATGAGATGACAAGTTTGTTCTGGTATCAACTCAGATTTGTAAAATTCATGTTTAATTCAAAAGCAGGGCTGCAGAGAAGCGCTAACTGCTCTTTTCTGTAAGACAGCCACTGAAGCTTTTATAATGCTAAACTTTAAAGGCACCATCTTTGAGCAACACCACAACAACTTTCCAATTCTTTGGGTAGTTCTTCACACAACTTCACAAGGTTTCTGTCAAAGAACATCCAAAGTTGGTTTTAATGATTTAAATGAGTCTATCTGTAAAGCTGTATTTTTTGCTACCCCTGAATATGCTTGAGCCTACAGAAGCCAAATGACTGAACTGACACAAACCCATGGCATCCTTCAGTCCCTGCTGTTTACAACAACATAAAGGTGCTTCCAGATACCATTTCGTGTTGGCATGATAGGTATGGGAGCATGATGGATGTTGGCTTTATAGGCAGCTCCTTGTTATCTCTGGAGGGATGCCAGCACTCAGGACAGCACAGGCAAACACTACCTTGTGGAGCCATGCACAACTCCTGGCTTTGCTGAGCTGCTACGGACGGATGGACAGGCCAGCTGTGGGGATGGACAGACAGCCACACCACACCCTGTCTGGTAAAAAACACACCGTCTGCTCCTCGATAGCAGCACCCAGCACTTCTGTTGTGCTTGATTGCTTTGGCAGCAGTGACGCAGATGACTTAATTTTGTGCTTGCAAAAAGACTTCAGAGCATTCTCTCTTGGGAAGGAGCACCCACAGAACAGGAGATCCAACACTTGCTCCTAAAAAACACCTCCAAAACCAGACACATGTGCTTATGAGATGGAAAAGCTTCAATTTCTGCATGTCAGGGGAGGACAGGCCAGTGAGCTGTGAAAGGAAGATGCACACAACAATGGAGCTTACAGTGCTTGCTCCATTGTGTAGAAGTGAGATTGGTTTTGTGACCATGGGTCAGGTTTTTGGGGAGCAATGCAGCCAACTACAAGCACTTCACATCCCAAGTTGCACTTTTCCAACATAACACCTGACAGTACGTGGTACCAAGAACTATGCTTGTTTTAAAGAGGCTGAGCAATAAGCATCTCCCCTGTGATAAAAGTAAAAATACAACAGTTTAATCTATTAAGTCACAGTATAAAGTAAATTTGCTTTTGATGACTCCAATTTGCAGGTAGTACTAAAGGATCCCTACCATTCCTGGAAAAAGCCCAACACAGAAAATACTACACAGCGACAAGAGGAAAAAGATTTTACCCTGAATTTATACTGTGTGCTTCTTCTGAGATTCTTCACAGTACAGGCTTGCTCCTCTCCAGTGTACTTTGGGTGAAACATGCTATCCTAGAAAAAACCAAACCAGACAAATATCCATAACTAAGGATTCTGAGAAAGTGCTCTCTCTATTATAGTCTGAAGCTATATTATAGCAAAGGGCCTTTCCATTTGAGTGCTTATTATTATTATTCTCATTATTATTATTATTATTATTATTACTTCTAAGACACAAGGCTTAATAATTTTCCTTCTAGAAGGATGTTGCAACTGACCTGAATAATACAATTTTTCTGTAAAATAAGCACAAACCCAACCGTGACAGTTTAACACACGTTACAGAAATAGAAGTGGCAGATGACAGAACACAAGGGCACCACACAGCAGTGAGGACACAGCAGACTGAACTGGTTAAGGTCAAGCTGCCCAGTACCTTATGGAGTTGGGTAAAGCTTTGTGATCATGGATGACATTACAGATTTTTAGCTAAGGATTCACAATTCTGCTGTGGACCAGAATAAATCACACAGCTCTGTCCTGCCAACTAGCCAGTAGTCCTAAAGACCCTCCAAAGCAGCAATCCACAATTTCTCTGTGATCTTGAATTAGTAAGTGAAAACACTAACTTGCGCACCATACTTCATAGTAACATGGTACTTACATTATCTTCTTCCTGAATTTCCAGGGTGTAGGAAATCACTTCTTCTGGTGTACATCCTTCTACTTTATTCCACTGCAATGCGATCCATGTAACACCAGCTCGAACAAGCCTTGGAGCTGAAGGGGTCTGAGGAATATTACCTGCAGTATAGCACACCACCTCCTGGCTGTACCCACTGCACAGAAACAGAGAAATGTTAAAATATTCAAACAAAAGAGAACTAAATAAACAAACCTCAGTGTATTTACAGAAGTATTTCACATTTTCAAAAAATCTAGACAGTGTTAAAAATGTTAAAATATGAGCACCCGGGTAGGAAATGCTAGAACTAATAATAGCAAAACCCGTAGGATTGTGTGTGTCCTCATGGTCATTTTTACAGATTTCATCCCAATAACATTGGAAAAAATAATATTTGTATGCCTGAAAATATTTACAATGAACTGTGAAGTACAGGAAAATCTCATGTAACAAAGGGGAACTAAACTTAGGAAATAAAGTCCCAAGTGTTCAACTTGCAGAAGTGGAACTTGACATACAGCTTCCACCTTTTATAAACGCAGAATACAACTTATGTTTAAGCTACACCTCTGAAAGCAGCCTCCTTCAGCAAATCAGGTTCCACTGTTTCAGACATCCTCCTCCAAGGAAAGCAGGAAAAATTTATCCAGTCAGGACCATACATGCTCAGCATCATGTAGGAGCTGGTGCAGGCACAGATGCCTTCCAACCTCCCAGGCTGGCTCTATTCCCTTCCAACTCTCCCTGACCAAACTTCTTTGCATTTTAAGCTGACCATAAAGTTCCTCTTTTGCACAGCTCAGGTCGCAATCAGAGAACATCTGCGACAGGGGAGATACATGCTCTTATTTTGTCTAAATCCCAGCACACAATGCCTTAAAACATAATAGGCAGTTGTGTCAAGCAAGTGTAGGAAGAGTTCTCTTAAAACTCCATTCTGAATGTATTACACACAATGGAAATTTGAGAACGGAAGTTAAAAATGGACAGATTTTGGCAAATGTCCAGGAGGATAACATCAGAACTCTCAACTGAACGTAACATTCTTGTAATTTGCAAACCTCTGTTTCCAAAATACAAACATATTTCGTTCGTTGAAGTCGTGGCATGAGTCTAATAAATACAAAAAGCCACATCTCCTTTTTCTGAGTCTTCTTTTGCAAAAATAACATATTTGTTGAAATATTCTTACAGCTACAAAATCCACCTATTTTTTTTATATATATATATGTAAAATTCACCTATTTTATATATATAGCTATAAAATCCACCCACTAACACCAAATCAAGGCAATAACCATCTTAAATGGTAGGTCCACAAGCAGTACTACCAATCAAACCTGTCTTATGACACAAAGTGCTGGATGACATTATCATGTTATAATTTTGAGTGCTGTCTATAAAAATAAGCCATGTGCTGTTGGTGCTTATCTTTACAGATTAACACAGAGCAGCTCACCATAAATATAGTTGTTAGTTCACTTTCCCCCCAATAGCCTCAGGAAAAAGAAAAAGGGAGAGAGAAGAACAAAGAAAGGGAGGGAGGCTTGAAGCATGCCCTAAGATGTTTTAAAATCTGGAATATGGTAAAGAGATGCTAAAGCGGGGAACTTTGCACAAAAACGGCAGTCCCAGTTACACTGAGCAGATCCCGCTCAAGCCTCTTTCTCTCTATAGATCAAAAATTATTTCAATAAGAAGGGAAGTAATCTTGCAAGAAATTGGCAAAAAGGACTCTCTGAACACATGAGCAGTCCCAGTGCAACTCATAGGGAGAACACAGGAACACGAATGAAGAAACTATTTAAAACTACATATTACAAAGAGGCTTGTGTGCTGGAAAAGCAAACAATACAGGAATCTCTCTGAGCAAAATACACTGTTATATAGCACCAGTGTTTCTTTTTCTGTCCTTGTAATAATGATTAGATCCTGTTTAGCTGTGAAGGACAATAAAGAAGTAAACAAGAGCACTGGATGTTTAGCTTCTTCACAGCTAAACTCTTCCTGGCTTACTTTCCTTCTGTAAGTACAGGAGTGCGCAGCCCCTCCAGCATGATTGATGTCTCTTTGGGCAAACTCTGATCCCCAGCTGTGTAACATTTTAGCCCAGGGCTCCCCAGAAGCTCCTGGAGGATTGCAGTAAGTCTGACTGCTCATCATCTTCATTCCAGCACATCTCTTCATGTGCAAAGAAAAGCAGAACCTGAAACCCATCTTTCAAGGCCTATGGATGTGCCTGTTCTCTCTCGGTCCTGGCTCTCTCACCCTTCTTTCCCACCCCATCAGCCAGACCTGCCAGTCCTGTGGAAGAAAGAAGGGACTGTACTGCTGAAAAAAGACAGAAGGGTTTTGCTTTAAACCAGAAAAAATAAATATATCAAGATTCCTTTCAAAATCTGTAACTTAACTTCCTCCTGCTTGTTTTTCTTGGTTCACAGAGGTCCCTAGTGGAGATTTTACATAACAGATGTATTCTTTTTGTATTAGGAATAGACCACAAAACACCATTTAACACCTCAAAAGAAGCCTATCTTCTTAGGCTAACCTCATCATTCTGAAGGTACACGGCAATTCCCTGGGAGATGAATGTTACCACCAGGGAAGCTGTGACTAACAGATTAATAATAAAGCAAATGTCAGATATTTAACACAAAACCATAAAGAGAAAAAAACACACCACCCCTCCCCAAATATCCCCAGAAATTCCTCTTTACTCTGTCATTGATAGTTAAACTTTTCAATTACCACTTTTTCTGCAAGAAGCATGTACCTTGGGCAACTTACCTAGTACCGACATCATTCTGAGCTGCTAATCGGAAGGTGTAACCCAAAGCTGGACAAAGCTTAGTCAACTTGCAATGCTTCTGGCTTCCAAAGTAGCATTCTCTGAAACCACTGTTCCTCTTTCCCTAGAAAGAGAGAAATCTGTAATCGGATAGCTATGAAACAAAACCACATGGTTCTTATTTTAAAAAAAGCTGTTAAATGATATTAGAATTAGATGCTTTTGTAAGACAATGTACAAAGAAAGCTGTGCAAGCCACTGACAGCACTGCTATGCTCCCTAAAATAATATGAATCAACACAGTCAGTCTGCTGCCAGATTCCCATCTTCATGAGACGTACCTACATCTTTTGCCACTCTGCTTGAGATGCTATTTATCCTACTAATTAACGAAAAAGCATGCAAATTTAAGGTAAAATTAATCTCTCAACCGACCTGGTCACAGGAGCATAGGAAAGCTGCAACCAACATTTCTTGGAAGTGCTACCCTCTGCACTCTAATCCCATGTAAACTCTCTCTGGTCCTTTGAAAACACTCTATCCCACAAGAGGGCTCTCGCTCCCCACAGTCCAGGCCATGGCCAACCCCAGCTGCTGCCACTGAGAAGGACATGCCTGGATTCGAACCCCACCCCAGCCCCATGCTCTTCAGGGCAAAATAGATGGAAGGAAATTTAAGGTACCAGAGGTTCTGTAACCATCCCACTTCTCAGAGCATGCGGCATGGGATGAGTAAAGAGGATTTATTAGAAAGCATGTAACTTTCTTAAGAAACTTGGATGACGGAGCTTTCATAGGAGCTTCACATCAAGATGACCCAGAGCGATGAAGATCCCTGACAAAGCTAAGATGGGGCAGCAGTGAGAGAAGGTATGGAGACACTTCCCCAGCTCCTAAGTCCTTCCTCAGGTACAAACCAGTACAACTGAGGACACAAACATTCAGAAGTCCTCTACCTCCCTCCCACATTTGAAAGAAACCAAGACCCTTTTCAATCCCACCCAACCTGGTACCCTTGGGGTAAAAACAAAGCTGAGCTTTTTGCAGGACACAGACCACAGGACAACAAAGAATATCTGGTCTCAACCTGTGCAACACATGGGAAATGGTCAATTTGAAATCCTTTGGGGAAAGGGCATAGACTGCTCAACTCCACATAAATAATATCTCCTTGAGCTGAAGCAGGTTAAAGGAGTTTTAATTTCAATACTTGAACACAAAATTAATGGATAATCACATTACAAAGAACCCAAAAGGACACCAGGATAGAAACCTAACAAAGCACACCCGTGAGCTTGAACTGGTGCAGGAGACAGTTATAGCCATCTCCGCAACTTCTGACTTAAGAGCTCTGCTATAGCATTCGCTATTTTTGGCACCTATCTACAGGTCTATTTCACTGAGATAAAATAAAAATGAACATCTGCCCATAGACAAAGCTACTTATTTCACCCGGCATACACAGCTTGAAAGAAGATTTGATGTTTCTATGCCTAAGCAGACTAACAGTAAGATAATTCAGACGGATGTTCCTCACTGCAGCCTCACCTGCTGCTGCCTCCTTGGGGTCTGTGTGCCCTCTCACACACCATTCTTCCTCCACGCTCAATACATAATCTTTAAATGCCCTAAAATCTCAAAAGAGCCTGAGTGGGACATACGTTTTTTACCAGTCCCTGTCAAATTTCCACTTCTTTTCACTCGCATTGCAGACCATACGGAAGAACGACAAAATGGTTGCAGTATCTCTCCAAAATATGTTTATCAAACTAGAAACAAGCATGCAGACCTCCAGCAGGGCACCGTTTCAGGACACTGAAGGGTCATTTAGTACACTGGCAGATAGCCATAACTTACTTCTATTTATAAGGTGTGATCCTACACTTGTTCTAGAACTTTGTTTTATGCAACTTCATCCACCTGCTCCAGCTGTAACATTACTATGTGACTCAAGTAAATTATGGGGTGGAATTGGAACAGAATGATGAATCTTAAAGTCTTTCGTAAAAGAGAAAACTTTTTCAGATCTAAAATCCTTGATAAAATTCCTTTTGGGCAAAAATAATAGGTCACCATACTTCCCAGCTCAGCAATAACATATTTAAAACTTAATTAGTAATAATATCTTTTAGTAGAATATCCATTCATCAGTGCACAGAATTGGGGGGGGCCCCCCCCCCAAACTCTCTTTTATAGGTTCCGGTGCATTAAATTAATTTTTCTCTAAGTCTTTAATGACTTCACTATTTGTAAAGCATTTGAAAACATTTCTTTCTGATTTCTTAAGAACAGTTGCTTGTTTATTTGGGTTTTTTTTTATTCTTTTTGTGTGATTTTTTTCCAAAAGAACAAAGCGACCAAATGCTAAGCATGTAGTTGACAAAGCAATGAACAGAGTCGGCTGGCTAAAAAGGCAAGTCCTGGAAAATCTCTCTCATCTGTAGCACAATGCCTGAAGTGAGAGCAGTGGGCCAAGAAAATGCTAATTTGTCAACTGGTGGATTAAAACTTTGCAGAGGTTGCCAAACATTTAACATACGTCCATCTTCATAACAGTACAAGTTCTGATATTGTATATATTTTTCTTCTTGAGCTGGTATTGTACCCTCCCCAGACTTGCACACAGACCAACTGGTATTCAAGTTACTCAGACTGGCTGGTATTTTGGATTCTATTGGCACTAATTGGAGAGGCTGGCCGATATTTCTAATTAACCTGGCATTAATAGCCTGGAAATAGTCTCTCTGCTCCTTCTCTCCCAAGATTTATGAAAGCACTAATGCTGGCATAATTATAGACAGGAACAACTGGCAGGCTGGTACTGGCTGCCACCCAAGAGTCTTACAGCTTTCCCAGAATCCTTCCCCTATTCTTTGTACACTCAGCATCCAAGTTTTAATCCCTCAAATAATGTTTTGTAAGTTGCTTAAAATACACTGTATCACTTCCGCAACTATTTCTAATCCACAAATTTCAGAGGAAGAGCACTGTCTGACTTCTTCACTAGCCCTTTCTGCAGCCTGCATTCCCTGTTCTTTGTGAGAGATTCACCCATGAATCACCCACAGGGTGATGATCAGAGCCTGTCCAAGGAAACAAGCACAATTCCGCTCCACAAATCCATTAGAATTTGTACAATTCCATTTTTAAGATTTTGCTTGCTATTTCAGCTATACTTCAAGCTACACAGGGTGCTTAAGTTTCTCCTGGAGAAGACAAGGGGTTTGGGATTTTAAATGGGTTTTGTTGAGCACATGCCCTGTGGCAGACATAGTAAATAAACATGATGAGGAATGGGTCACTGCAGGTATAGTGGATACAGAAATGGAGCACAGTCCTTCACAGGATCACAGTGCAGAAATCTGAATAGAAGCTGTTAGCATCAGATGCACAACCAGGAGGCAAGATGGCAATATGCTGCAGGCCATGCCAGCCTTAACTTCTGTGTTTGTCTCATATTGGCAATAAAAAGCAGCAGATTGATACTCAATCTGACACAAAGCTGCGGAGCAAACTGTCAACAATTACTATGACACAACCTAGTGCAATCTCTGCAAAATCAATCTCTGCAAAGCATTTATTGTGCATGTTCTTACACACGTAACTGAATTTTCTCTCTATACAAACATTTAGAAGACATGACAGGACCTATGAAACATTCCTAATACATGCACAAAATCCAATTTCATCCAAGACTCTCTTCTTGTATGTCTCACAGGAGCAGCACAGCCACAGAACAGACCTAGAGCGCATGCAGGTGAACAGACACAAACCAGGCACAACGTGGGGCTCCGTGTACTGAATTTTGGTGGACCATCAATGATATGCATGGCCCGATTATAGCTAGTATAACAAAGAAAACCTCTGCTAGCCTCAAGCAGTTTAAAACTTGGTGGCATCTCCATTTATCTCTATATAAACTTATTAACTACCTGTCACCAGATCACTAAATACTGTGGTACTCTATCAGTCTCTTGAGCAAATTGAGATGCTTAATGGATGAGAAAGCTACTTTTGAGTTATACACAAAACAGCAACACACACTGCCTGAGAGGGATGCCCTCTCTGGTTCAGGAACAGTCCTACACTTTCCATAGAGAATGAACAGGATACTCTCACTATCCATAAATACAAGAGAAACATGTATTTACTGCCACTTAATCACAGAATCAGCATTTCACATCTGATTAGTAACAAAGGCCTGATTCTGAAAGCAGTGTTAGTGGCATTTTTCAATGCAGATACAGTTTACTGATTTTGCTGAACACTGGCAACAGGAGAAAGCATCAACTCATTTACAGTGTTGCTTTCTGCCTGGCATATTTTTAACATTATTTTTTCTAATTAGCCTTTTGCTTACCCCGAATAATCAATCCTGGAACAAAGGCATCAAGTGACTAGTTCAGGTTTGTAAAGTTCATAGAAAAGGAGCCAGAAGGTGGAGTTTTCCTTAGATGCTAATTCTAACTGATTTTATTGCCAGGCTAATATTGGTAATGCCAGCACCTGACATGCAGGCATGTTCAAATCCAACTGAATTTCAAAATACCAGAGGAGAGGTGCTGATCCTATCTCCTTTGAAGTCAATGGAAACTTTCCCAGTGTACATCCAATGTTACCAGGTGACAACTCACTGAACTGATCTTTTACTCTACTGTTAAAGAATGAAGATCATCCTCCATAGTTCTTCAGGCATTTGAAACTATACCAGTTTATTAGCAAGGTATTACAACTATAAGTCAAAGACTTATGTCAGTACTGAGGAAGAAAGTATTTGTGTTTTCTAACAAAAATGTAACACCAGTCATATTACAAACCATTTAATTCAAATTGGGAGGGGAAAAAAAGGTGGAATAGCAGGAATAGCTTTGTCTATTGACTATCTTCCAGAGCCTGCAGGTCAGGGAAATCCCTGAAACTCAGAACTAAATTGAAGAAGCAGCAGCTGGGTAGGACTGGCACGGTGACATGTTAAGCAGTATAACCTTCTTTTCATCAAAACAGGTCAGAAGACACCTACTTCCAACGAAGAAACGAAAGCAACTCATTTGTGCTTCATCTAAAGCTAATCTAACGAGGTGAGAGAATGCAATTAAAGTACATCTAAGAAAAGACAGCTAAACCACAGAATGGTGACAGTACTGCATCTATTGTCAGCACGATATAATAATTAAAAACCCCCAACAAAACAAAAAAAAACCACAATAAAGAAAATATAACAATAATAATAATAATAATGCCAACTAAACAAAATCCACCTTTCTCCAGTCTCTAGAGTGACCCTCCAGAGCAGTGGGGAACCCTGCAGTAGGTACGTGTGGTAGCACAGGGTTTGCTGAGGAGCACTGAACCCAGGATCCCAGGCAGACCCCCCTGCACCCAGCTAGCACTGCAGCACCTCAGCCCTGTGGGACTCCCCAGCTACAGCCACAAAGAGATGAGATGCTGTCCTGTTGTTACAATTTAGAACCTCACCTAATCCCAGGGCTGTAAAACATGCTGGTTCTGCTGCTGTTTTACAGGAAATTTATTTCTTGCATATACGAGTGATGCCACCTACACTTCTGGCTGAATTTCAGATGCTATAAACTATGCCTTTGCACTGTAAAAACAGGAGGAACGAGTTGAGATACTGTTGAGCATCATGCTCCAAGATCTGAATTGCCTCAAAGAGAGACAATCTGTTACGCACTGTGCAGGAGCAGGAATGGGCTGCTGAAGCCCCTTCCTTAGTGGGAGTGGGTAGCACAGCTTGGGTTCCATGGCTCACTCACACACCATCCTCCCTTAGGAAGGGACTCAACTTCCTAAGGCAGACTGCTGTTTTAGGGTGTTTTGTCTCATTTCATTAACAGATAGATTTCTTGGTCTCCATTCATGCAAAGTCCTCTCTGCCTTTTAGCCACAACTTAATTTCATTCTGATTGCTGATTTTCCTATGTTTGTATCTTACTTTGTAAGCTGTAGCTGATGATGTTTTACTGTAGCTGATGAATGTTGCTCTAGCTGAGATCTGGCAGAGCATGTCCTGTTGCCTGGCAATCATTCTCCTCCTCACTGATGTATTTACTTGATTTCACCAGGACACAGTGTGGCATTGTAAAACAGTGTTTTTGCTTATGTGAATTTCACACAACCAAGTGCAAAGGTACAGGGCATTACAAGTGAATTCTCTTTTGTACTTGGCTGCTCTAACTCCGGTATCTAATCGCACCCTAAGTCAGAGGCACAACTTGCAAGGGCACATGGAAAAGTGGGTAGAACAGCTTGCTGAGCTCGCTGTTGCAGGTAGATGAGGCTCCCACAGATGCAGGTACAGCCAGCCTACATCTTCAGACTTTTTCTTTAGTAAGCATTAATAGCAAGTTTTTAATTCAGCAACTCAAAATTGCATTTTGGTCTCATATCAGAGGAAACAACCTGACAATTACTTTTCAGTCAGGAGTCCTGTCAAATCATTGGAGATGTACCAAATTAATCTGTGCAGGGCCATTATTCTTTCATCTTTACTGGCTAGCTACCCACTGGGATCTCAGATTTCAGGACTGCTACTGATAAAACAAGGTAATTAAACTGTACAGTGTAAGGGAATCAGGATGCCTTCATTTTTACCATTGGTACACGAGCTAGCCTACTAGCTACTTTTGCCATGTGAAAAACAGTCGGAACAATTATTTCTGAAGATGAAAGTCTACATAGATACTCAGTATTAAATGGTTTAAAGGACAAAAGCATTTTAGAGTTGCCTAGTGTATATCCAAAATTATGACTAGGGTCCATGTGGACAAAATTAACATCAAAAGTATTTGCACTGTGTGGATGGTCTGTTGTGTTGGTGTTTCTTCTGACAAGACCTATTCCTTCCTTTCCCTTTGCAGGCTGGAATCATTTGTTTTTCCACTACTTCACTGCTTGGTGCTGTTACACTCCCATGGCTCCAAGTTACTGAAAGCCTTGCAAGAGATCACAACAGCACAGTCAAGGTGTCACAGGAGGTGAAATGGGATCACCCTAGCCCATACTTTTGGAGAAATGTCTTTTTAATCTCCATTCCCTGACCTCACGCTCCATTTTTTTTCTTCTTCACTGACCTTTCCTCCTTAATTATGGAGAGAGGGATAGTGAGCCACTCTAAAATTATTAATTATTTTAGTTCAGCTCAATAGGTTTCTCATCACGTAGACCTCGCTTGCTGCAATACTGAAATATTTGCAGGGTGAATGGTTCCAAACATCACATTTTTTTTTTCCCTTCCAAGATGATGCTCCTTGACTCATGCTTTCTGCAGAAATAAGGCTTACACAATGGAAAGGAATTAGGGGATGAAGGGAGGACTCACAACCAGAGCCCACCTCCAGAAAATAGTCCACATCTCTTGCTTATGGCACTCTCCCCAAAAGCAAGCTGTTCACTAACTATGTAAATATTTGGGACAGAGAACTTACTTCCTTTTGTGACTAGAAGGGGACTAATTGCCACTGTGTAAAGGGCATCATTATTTTGACCCTGAATACATTCCCTGATGAAAGGGCTGCAAGATCACGGCTCTTCTTTGAGGCAAGAACAATGATTTATTCTGCACTCAGATATGGGCCAGAAAAAGAGATCATGAATAGAACTCTAAGATACATCAAGTAATTAAATAACAAGTAATGCTAATTAACAAATAAAGTGCACTGCATGCGCAATAAAATTTAGATTTCAAGAGCACAGAAGCAGAACATTGTCCCTGCATAAAATACAGTGAATTAAAATCCCGGTCCCCCTGTCCCCGTCCCCGTCCCTTTAACCTTTCCAGCTCTTTACTTAATGCTATCAGGATTTCATTTTCCTACTTCTACTTTCTCCTGTTTTTAATTATTTTTCTTTACTCAGCAAATCCTTGTAAAGTCTGAGTGCCATTTATTTATGTATTTATTTCAACCAGTTACTCCTTACCTCATCCCACTCCAGAAGGTAGCTGGTGATTTTTGAACCATTATCAATGGGCGCCTATGAAGAAAAATAAACAATGGTGATTTGGGGAATAAGAGAAAACTACCCCCCCCCCAGCAAATGACTAAAGTTTAAATTGAAGCCAAAGCTTGGGGGCTGTGCACAGCTTGGCAACCTCTTAACAAATACTGTGAGGAAGCTGGATGTAATGAAACACATACATTTTAAAAGTCAAGCCAGTGCATGGGGAGGGATTTGTAGATTACAAGAAGTTCAAGTTCCTTACTGAAAACTGTCTCAGCTTTCAATTATTTTCAACAGTTACGCTCACTGTCAGTAAACTGTATTTTTCTTTGCTTTCCTGCCTGATCCAAGCATTACCTACCTTCCATTGTAAGGTTAAGGAGCTTTTGGTCCTGTGCGAGGGTTTGGGTGGGAAGGGACACTCTGGTGCTGAGCTGTGAGTGGTGAAGCTTACTGGCTCTGAGCAGGAACCCTTTACTGAGTTGTACGTTGCATATACCCTGGAAACAACATTCAAATGGGTTATAAACTAGCTGACAATTACAAGACGAGACAGCACTGCCTCAGCCACAATATTTGAATTCCAAAGCATCCACAATACCATCCACTAATGACAGATTTCTCACAGACCAGTGGCTATCAATATTCTACTTCACTTGATATGCAATAGAATTCACAGCAGAAGAGAAATATTACAGCGTTTTGTTCAAATACTCCCAGAGACCACTAAGTTGTCATCATCACTTTTTCTTTCTGCCACTACTTTCTTGTCTGTTGCCAGACTTTCACACACACTGTGCTAACATCCTCTTTGCAATACAAAATTTTAATGCCCGAGTACATGTAAAGAGTACATGTAAAGCAAGTGAGTGGTGCTAACTGCTGGTCTCCTTCCATGGCTACAAGCTTCTACATAGCCTAGGTGTCAACACTTAGAACTTACACAGCTCTGGTTAAACTAAAAATCTTCAGGCAGTTTCTCTATATATCAGTACAGAAGGGGATATATAATATTTCGCATATTGGAAAGTGAACACAATGTAGTTGAGCACTTCCTCACAAGGTCCTTTTCTCTGAAAAAAAAATAATGATATTTTTTCCCCCCCACATTTTCTATGCAGCAAAATAAAAGTGCAAATTGCAAGTCTTCTACTCAAAAAAAAGTTCAAACCATGACCAGACGATGACCTCTGAGCTCCCTGTAGCTATTGTGCGCTTGAATGCAGAGCTTAAGAAAGGGCAATTTCTAAATTTGTTTTCAGTAGATAAGAGTAATTTATGTACAATGGCCACCTACATAGAATCAAACCTTTTGGGAAGTTCACAAGAACTGCTATAGTGCTGCTTTACCCACCACCTGTTAGTCAGGAGTGAAAACAAATGTAGTTAATTGAGTCTGAAGCTGGTGAGTGGTATGTACCCGTGCCGGAATCAGTGTAGCCAAGCAGCAAACACATACCACCAGGGAATACAACCATGTGAAAATGAGCTTAACAAGCGTCTTCTGCAAGTCACTGAAACACCGAGCACGGTCGCCTCTGCAAGCACCAAAGTAATACTACTGGAAGAAATGCAGGCAAGAGGTTCAGAGCAAACCAGGGTGTCCTGGGTGTCGGCGCTCTTCAAGGCGGGACCAAGAACGAGCAGCCTGTCTGTGTGGAGATGAAGCTCTGAAAGATTCTGCCAAGGTTAAGGAGACCTAAGGCAATCTGCCGAGTAACGGTTGCCCAATAGATTTCTTTACTTAACAGATTTATTTCTTCACAGTTGTTAATACATAATGCAGTTTCAGTGAAGGAAAAAATTGTCATGGAAAGCAAACAGCACGTCTTTTCAGTGTTGGTTCCCTCCACTCCAAACACATGCTGCTGCTTTTTATGTCTGACTTTTATATTTAGCAGTTGCTTCTCCTTTTTAAATGAAGTTAACTGCTAACTGTTCACAAACGATCTTTAATTTGACAAGCATCCGGGAAGGTGGAGTGAGCTGTAGGTAGGAAGAAAGAAGTCAGCCAGGACACAGGACAAATACTCACAATGCCTTCAAAAATCGCACCAGACCTCAATGCCATGCTGTGCATGGCGACCACTTTATTGTTGGAAGCTGGCTTTTAACATGATGCTCAATTGCTTACAGCAGGATGCTCAGCAGTTTTATACAATTGCCTCCTCCTCGCTACCATCCATTTGCTCCTAGGGCTGGGACTACTGGCTGACCTGGGAGTCTGAGTCTTGTACTTATGTACAAGAAGTTACTTCTGGTCTTATGCTTATTCTTGAAAAGCCTATTTTAAAGCTTCACTAGAATGTATTCTTAGAAAAACATAAGCTGCAGCACCAGAGCAAGACAGATACATTCTGGTGTTGGGTTGGTGGGGTTTTTTTAATAGCTGAGAAGCACAATGTTCTTTAAAATTTTACAAACAGGAGCAGCCCTGATGTGAAAAAGCACAGCAAATCCAGCCCTTGTCTGGAAAAACAGAGCAAAACAATAGACAGGAGTGAAAGGATTCTTTTTAAAGGATATTAAGTGAACAGGATGTGAATTTGAAACCTTGCTTCATACGGAAAGTCTTTAAAAAAAGGCAACATAAGCAGATAACACCACAGACGGTATTAAAAACTGAGAATGTGTTAACAGTTACTAAATGTGTAAATCACATTTTTCGAATCAAAGAGAAACACACCCTGAAAATACCAAGAAAGGCCAGTACAAAGCTTTTTTTTTAATAAATTCTGCAATTAGGGTCAGATGCATTTCTAAGCAGCAGATGTACTTCATGAAGCAAGGAGTCTTTATGAGGAAACTGTGCTGGAGTACTTTTGGTGCTAGCACATCTCTGGTACAGTAACTACAGAAATGCCAGTTGCTTGAGTCAAATTTTTAAGAAGCCTGAGGAATCCCACTTTCATACACAAGCGCTTCTAGGCCTGTTAAACGCACAGGCAGAAATACAGCTATGCAGATGTCTTTTTTTCCTCTTTACCATAGTAATGACAGCAATATGACAGCAAATGTATTGTTCAAAAAATACTCTTGTAACTTTAAAGTTCAGGATAAAATCTGTGAGAAGTATTCAGAAGCCACTGAAAACATACTTACAGAGATGCCCGTGAAATTCTTGAACTACACTGTAGAGTTAGATAGAAGACTTGCACATGTATTCTCATATAATTGAAGATTTTATATTTAAGTGACCTTCATAGTCAGACTAACTCACCTGACGTGATAATCTGTTGCTGGCCTAAGGTCTTTCAGGTTATATTCTAATTCTTCTCCACTGCAGGTAAAAGAAAACAAACCCAACAAATTAAAAAATAATGAAAAACGGTATCACACTTAGCACAGCTAGTGATTTTTTCAGTGACTAGCAACTCCCTCATATGATTTGAAAGAAAATGGGTGTTTTCCAGAAAAACAGTAGTAAACAATATACCAATAATTTGTTGATGCAATTCTTGTTTCTTGAAAACTTCACAAAGCTCTGTATACATAGGAGAAAAGTAATAATCATCCCAATTTATACAATAAACCAGTTATGTTGATTTATTTCAATGCTATCCTTACATTTTGTTGATAATCAAATAGGGTTTTCAACCCTCCCAGAGCTAAAAAGAGCCAAATTGATACATGACTTTCATGCCTTCTGCACATTCATTATTGCAAAATACTTTATAAAAAGTGAGTCACTGAACTTCAGAGGAAAAAGTATAGCTTCTTGCACAATCCTCTCACTTGTTTGCTCTCTCTTTCAGAAGAACAGTCTCTGTGAGGACCATGACAAGGAGATGTTTAATTAATGCCCTAACAGCTGGACCCAGATCTCTTTCAATACCAAGAAAAGTAAAAGCACAGAGTTACAGACATTTTAGGAAAAATACAGCATATAATCTATTAATTTCAAATGTAGCCAACATAGTCAGGGCTATTTTTTTTCCTCTTGGTTTGTTTGCTGGTAAATGAAGTCTGGGCTCAGTCGTGTGTTGACAGTTCAGTGAAAATGAAGGTACAGGTCAGTAATTACTAAGTAATATCCATCTCATTGTTTGGCTTATTCATGATTTTATTAAAATATGGGAAGCAAGAAAATTCTCAATTAGGCATAAAGATTTCATAGGAGGTTGAGCAAATACAGGGAGATCTCTCAAAAATCAAGAGAACAAAACCAACCAGAAAGCACATGCCTGCTGGGTTGCCAGAAATCGACCAAAATCCCCTTATTTAGTTCATATAATCCAGTGCTCTGCAAATTCAGTTTTTCCCCTCTGAATGAGTGCACGTCCTTGCAAAGACAATGTCTTCAACATATTGCAGACTTTCGTTTGCCTATAGTAATAATGATTACTGCTGCTTGTGACGGAGAGTACCGTTTCAAGCTAATGGCTATACTCTGGCCAGCAGCAGGAGACAGATTACTAATAGCAGCCTTAAAACAGATGCACAAAATTTCGTAACAATGAGAAAATGTGCAGCCATCACACCAGCAAGCACAAGTAGTACTAGAAAGTGCCGTTCCCATTTTAAGAGCTCAGCAGCCCATTTTAACCTTTAGGGATGCTCACACTGGCTCACTAGTCTGAAATACCAGTTAGTTTAGCTAGTGTAAATAGCAGAAGAAAAAAACAAAAATTCAGGCAGCATTTTCTTGGTTAATAACCTCTTCATATATTACCAAACAATTCAATCTGCTCAGTTCCCTGCCTCTGGCATACCAAGAGGAATACACTAATTCACAGGACATCTTAAGAGGAGATGGTTTGGTCTCAAGAGGTAATTCCATAAACGCTGCATCACCTGGACTTTATTTACTGAGATTTGGGAAGGATTAGCTATTTCACAATAGCCACAGTCACATCTCAAAATTTTCTTTCCTAGACTAGCGGGGGGAAAAAGAAAGGCATAACACCATATGTACTTGATCAGAGAATGAGCTCAGAGGATCACTGGAAGGAGAGAGAGAGCAATCCCTCAATTTTTACTGAAGACTTCTGAGAGCCAAATATTTGGGTTTTTCTGGGTAGCCTATACAGTCTAGTGCTGGTGTACTCTGTCCTCTGCTCATTTAAGACGCTATGGAGCAGTAAAGCCCTCAAACTTCTGCTCATTAGCTCAAAAAGCAAGCTTTACTGTTCTTAATTCTGCAAGACCATATAAATTTAGCCCATTAGGAAGGCAGCTATCCTGCCTGCATGGTGTACACGAAAGGTTTTGACGTTTAGCATAAGAGAAAAAAGTAACCTTTTCATCAGCACAGGAGACACAGCATCCCATGCAAGATCTGCCAGATGCTGGTGACGTGCGAAGGGAAAGCAATTAGGCACCTTGCAACATGCACTCAAACAGCTCGATGTAAGTTATTGCAACAAGGGGGGCTGATGGGACAGCAAGGGAGCAATTACAGGGTGTTCAAATATGCCTCTTCTCTGTGACTGATAAGCATGTCAAAATACACACTGAGAAGCACAGGGAGTTTATCCTTAATAAAAACACAAGCGTAAAAATGGTGCTGTTACCTGTAAATTATCTTGTATTTTCCATCCCTCCCTTTATCTGATAAGGCAACCTCGTAGGTACAGGTGTAAGGCAAGCCATTGTTGTGTCTATCTGCACTTAGAAGGCCAGTGGGAGGTGACCAGGAAAGTAAAACTGTTCTTGCTTGAATATTTGTAACCTATAAAAGAAAGAACAGTTACTCTGAATTCCTAGAAAAACACTACCCTGTGAGTACTTGCTTTCTGCTTGCATCTTTACAATCAATTTCTCATGAAAAGGGAATTCCAGAGCTACAGGTAAAAAGTACAGGGTCAGAAACAGTCATCAACAACACAAAAAATTACATATTCATGGCATAAACTAATCTTTAACAGATGAGGAATACAGAGAGATGCCCCCTTGCTGTGAAATGGCTCATCATTGACCATCTGGTTAAGGATGCCTTGCGCCATCCTGGAGGTACCTGTTGCGTGGCCATTACCTGAAAGGAAGTAGAACTAAGTGAAACAAAGACTTTACCCTGTGGATTGCTGCAATTATTTTTTTAAAGCTTTTGTTAGGGAGCTTATCTAATAAACCTCTGATAGGTTTTTTAGTCATCCTGTTCCTTCTTGCAATTTGAAATTGCAGTAACTGAACTGCAAATAACTCCCTACCCCCAAAAACTGCAAATAACTCCCTACCCTCAAAAAAACCCACAATTCAATTTGCAAAGTTACACTGACTCAAAAGCACAAAGGAAAATCATAACAGATCTGTCAACTTGTCAACTAAAAATTACATTGCAGATCAATCACTTTGTGCCCTGAAAGACAGCATGTATGATCTGTGGTCTCTCATGGGCTCAACACCTCAATGTCAGATGGGTGAGAACTCTCTTCTAATAAAACACAGAAAAAATACCTCAAAGCTCTGCACCAAAACAACTTTATCACCCCACCAGTGCAGCTGTATTCTTTTGGAAAAACAGTCACATAACTGTAGACTGACCAAGCTTACAGAACTAGCATCGCCTTTCTCACCAGGACAGCCTACTGGCACGGTGGCAGAGGCATCACAGACAGCATAACTTTTTATGTATACCTTCGGAGAAAAGCCCAGGGAAGCACCAAGTCCTCCATAGCTTCTGGCTCTCTACCACAAACTCTTCACTTTTAGTAATGAAAACAGCTACATTTTTCTTTCTTAATTTTAGTGAAAATCTAAAGAAAACGTTTTTAGCTAGCCTCCATGAGGAGGAATCAATGCACAAGGTTTTACATTCTTTATCCATTTTTCCTACAGGTCAAATTTCAGTGGTTCTATCATTTTAACAGATTTCTCTAACACACAGAGCAAAATGTTATTTCAGAAGGTGTAAGATAAATGATACAGGTGCTTGGTTACATATTTCCTACACTTTTCTTAAAACAGTTGAAACACTTTACCCATAAATGATTTGGTAATAAAATATGAGCCATCAGCTTTCGGGGAATTCTTGTTTACAAATCCAGTTTCTGAATCATAGAATCATAGAACGGCTTCTCACATGAAAACACACTGCTTCCAGCTGAAGAGCACCGCAACTGTTGTGTGTGTTACCCATATATCACACAAATTCCTTCTGAGCAAGTAATAAATCTGTTTTTAACAGACACACAAGTAGGTAACACCACAAAATCTCTCATCTTAACTCCAACACCATGCTCTTAAAGATTTTAATTTATAGCAGCACAATTAAGTCTCGCTGAAAAGAAAACCTGCTCAACCTAATGTGAAAAACAAGTTGTAAGGCAAGAAGTTTTAAGTGGTATCAAGCATTTTTTTTTTTAATATGCAAATTCTTGTATGAATTTTCACGTGATTTCTTGCTCTAGCCACATTTTTCTGATGCTATGAAATTAATTTTTGCTTCATAAACTTGGAGCAGCAAACACCAATACTGGATTAGATAGTTTATAAGAATCCTGAATGATCCAAATAAGACAGATAAGTTAAATTTTTGAGATATGTATTTGCACATGTATGTGAATGAAATTGTGACAAAGATACATAGAGCTAGAAAGCTATATTGTAAACAATATTTTGATCAGAAAACTGGATAGTAAGATCCAAACAGACCTTTTTTTTTTTTTAAACATACATTATTACGACGACAGCTCAGCCCGTCAACACACAGCTTCTTTTATTATGGAAATATGCTTGCCTAATTGTTTTTCGTAAATTCAGACAGAGTTGGAGCTGGAGGCATGATATCCTGCCAATGTTCTATTGAAATGTTTTTCTCTATGACTACTCACAAGGACACACGTAGATATTCTGCGTATGGCAAAAGCTCTGGCCTTTCATGAACTTCAGAAATCTGTAAAAAGTTAGGTCTTCTATGCTTTCTTAAATCAAGAGAAAGCACGTTGCAGACTAACTGCTAGAAACTGTTAGACTATTATTCTGAAGTCAGTGTGCAGACATTTCAATGCAAATTATAGAAGTCCAAACCCAGCTGATAAGCCTTCCCAGCTATACCATTAATTTCTTACTGATACAGAGTGGCTTCTGGCCTGCCTTCGTGGTGGTATGCACACAGTAACAGCTGGGGCAGGTTTAAAAATAAACACAAGAAATCATTAAATACAATTCTTAGCTGCATTGAGTACACACAGCAAGTGTAGCAAAGCAAGTGAAGGGTCACTGTCTGAATGACAGAGTCAGAAAACACAAATCTATATACTTCTATAGGAAGCAGAATAATACTGTGCACATCAGCTCAAGTACTGGGAATGGATTTGTTCCCAGTTGTAATGACAGGACAAGGGGCAATGGGTTTAAACTTAAACAAGGGAAATTCAGGTTAGATTCAAGGAAGAAGCTCTTTACTGTGAGGGTGGTGAGACACTGGAACAGGATGCTCAAAGAACTGGTAAATGCTCCATCATTGGCAGTGTTCAAGGCCACATTGGACATAGCCTTGGTCAACATGGTCTAGTGTAAGGTGTCCCTGCTCATGGCACAGGGGCTGAAACAAGATGATCTTAAGGCCCTTTCCAACCGAAACCATTCTATGATTCTATGATTATGTGTATGCGTGCTTCTCACCGACTAACAGGCTTGATACTCTATCACGTTTATCAGCCAAAGACGTATCTTTCCAGTATCTGATTTAATTGCCAAAGATATCACTTAGCCTTACGAAGGAACTCCTAACTGGAGCTGGAAGCACTAGTTTTGCTGTGGAAAAACTGAGTTAAACAAAATAGGGTTATGGTAGTCTGAGAATAACAAGCCAACACTGGAAAAACGGCTCAGTACCTTTAACTCTAACTTTTCTTGCTTACACCTGGCAAAACAAACATTTACCCAAAACCACTGAACAGATCTGGACCAGCCCTATCCATGCTGTAAGGAATAGCACAGCTAACATCACGATAGTGAGCTCAATGGCACTACTGAACATGCAAACATAAGTGTTCATTAATGTTGCCCTAATTCCATTCAACCAAAATATAAGTGGCCAAAGCACCTCTTCACAGGTTACGCAGGTACGCCTTTGTGCTACTTTCTTGTTATTCCAGCCTGTCTCAGCTGTCCCCAGAATTGCTATGATTGCTTTGAACAGGACTGGCTTGGCCTTTTAGCTGAGACGTAACAAAAGATTCTCCCATAAGGAGTTTTGTATGTCTGGTGAAAAGTGCAGTTGATTAGTTTCTGAAAACTTCTCAGTTTACACAGAAAATGCCTACTTTCTACACTATCAAAACTTGGTGATGTAAATAATTATAAAAGCCCCTGGGAAAGAATCCAGCTCCTGCACTACTTTAATAAGGTTACAAGACTGATGAATATTGGCCCTTCCCGTCTTTCAGGTAATGAACAATGTTTCTGTATAACTTTCATTATCTTTCAAATTCTGGGTTAGCATTCACAGGCATCGTGTGGTTTGGGGCTTTATTGTATGTGTGAGAACTACACTGCAAGCAACATTCATTTACTCCCTGGAGGGCAACGTTTGAAAGACTTGTGGGTCAAATGAATTCACTGCTATTACCAGGTCTAGATTTTGCTTTTAAACTGTGGCTCTAATCCTGCAATTTTAGGCAAAAATCCTAATGATTAAATATGACTTTCACTGCAGAGCAAGTCAGTGGGAGCAAACTGCCTTTTGGAGAGTCAAACTAATGCCTGAGCTCTAACTCTGTGGACCATGTTTCCCCATGGGAGGTGATGCCCCCTGAGCCACTTGGCAGCCACGCTGTTGCATACAGCGATGTTTCCCCCAGCCATTTCAGAAACCCATTATTAAGTTTCCCTTTCCTCACCGATGTATTTATTTTAGGGACTGCTTACTTTGCGATAAAGCAAATTAAATACATACTTTATTTTAAATAAAAACAGGGGAAAAAAGCAAAAGGCTTCTTTAAAAAATTCTGCTGTCAAAGGGATAAGAATACAATTAAATTTACAGTTTGTCTGCATGTCTCTCAAAGCAGGTAACAACATCTATCATAAAAAACAGACTTTCTATAATTAATAATTTAAAAAATGTGTCTAGTTTGTACTTTGAAAGGTGAGAGAGACTTTGTCACACAGAAGTACCTGGACAAGCTAGACTAAAGACAACTCCAAGTGATACTGCGGCTGCAGATTCTCTCACAGGGGTTGCTCAGTGGGATAATCCCTTCAGATGGCTTCCAAACTGCTGACATCAAAGCCATGTGCTGCAGGCACAGCATCACTTCACCTGCCACAAACTTACTGCTCTGTGTCCTTCCATTTCAGTTGCCTAATTTCTTTCCACGCAATTTTGTATACATTGTTGAAAATTTTGTTTTTCATTCATATATGAATAAGGCTCATCAAGAAACACAGCCCAGCAGACAACTTACAAATAATATATTTCTATCAGCTGTAATATTGAATACACACATACATAATCATTCATAGCAATTAATGGTTTGGGAGACTCCTATGAGTTCTATTACTCACAAATATCAAAGAGAGATAATCCTCAGCATCTTCTCATTAAATGTTATTAATATGGAACTAGAATTTCTCATGGTTTAGATTTAAAAAAAAACCCAAACCACTAAAAAGCTAAAAACTAAAAAATATCCTATTTTTAAAATTATTCAGATCTACAAAATTTACAAAAATATTTTTATTTTTCATTTTGCTCCCCTCTGCTTTAAACACTTTGGTTACCATAATTCTAATTGTGCAGAGCTCAGAATTCTGCAAACTACTCAAATAGCTTCTCTCCCTACCTCTATAGATATAAGTATGAAATAACTGATTTTTAATGTCAGCTATCTAGATCTTTGTCAAAGACATCTAGCTGTGGCATTTTACCAGCTGAGAAACATTTAGATAGTTCTCAGTACAAAAATATTGACTGACTGTAAAATAAACTAGCCTAATTCTAAGAGCACTTTCTTCCCTTCTGATCTACCAGAAACTCTTCTCTCAAGTCTTCAGCTTAGTATTATCACTTTTCTGCAATAAGTAAAGCAACTTTCCTTCTTGCAAACAGAAACTCCAGCTGTAGCCTTCTGGTATTTATCATCTCTGCAGGCCTGGTTTACATTCTGATTGGCTTTGAACCTGCTCCTGTAGATGCTACTACACTGTAGATGCTAACACCTACTGACTGAGCAATTTAAGGCCATCTTTTGTATTTATTCAGAACAAAGGCATCCAAGAGAACAGAACCTAAAAATAAAACTCAGTCCATGCTCATGCCTGCATTTCCCTGGGCTCCACTGCTTCTGCATCCAATGGATAGATATCTTTACATGTTCCAACTGCAGAATATCATCTATCATCCACTGTTGAATCAGCCTTTAGACGAGCTTTCCAGCTGTTTTTGTTAATTTGCTTGTTTACTAGCCTTCTACCTCAACAGATAAAGACAAAGCAACAGAGACAAAACTCCCAAAGCACAACCATCTCCCTCTGCCCCGTGACTGCTTCATCCAGTGCTTGTTGAAACAGTTCATTTAGATCCACAATACTCTTCTGCCTTTAATTTGATACACCAAACTAGAAAACCATCACATTCAAAGGTCTTGCAACTAGATTTATTAATAACCTTACCTGACTGTGGTCATACCCAGCATTATGGTTATTTACATGGTGATTCAATTCCATTACAATTCACATGTTTTTATGGCTCAGATAAACATAGAATATAGTAATTGCCATTAAATAATAGAATTATCTTAATTTAATCATGATTACAGACATAAATTGCTCATGACAAATAAAATTAAACCCAGGGAAGAGCTACGTAAATCACCACAGTGGGGAACCAAATGAATTCTGGGAGTTGTGCTCTAGAAACAAGCAACTGGTGCCATTCCTGCAGTGGACAGAGCCCACAAACACCCACAAGCACAAGAGATGCTTCAAATTTATATCCCAGGAAAATGAGTTAGATATATACAGAGGCAACAATCTACTAATGAAAAAATTCAGAGGTGATCCTCTGTGAAATGACCAGTATGTTGTGACACAAGCAACTTCTCACATTTAGTATTTTGTATGCATGTGTAGTAATTTGGGATCACATACCTGTGGTTTCTCCATTCCAGAAAGAATGTCCTGAACCCTTTTTGTTTCTGAATCAAATTCTGTAAAAGAGAGAATGTAGAAACCGGAAGAAAAATAAATTACCAAAATTAAACAAAAATGCCAGCTATGTCAGTAATTCTTCATGAATTCATAAACAGGCGACAGACATTACCTGCACATGCACATCGGCTGTTTTGCTCTTGTGAATTTAAGCTACACAGTTACATGGATTAATATTAAAACAAAAATTAAAACAGAAAAAGGAGGAAATAAAACTTCCAGTAATTGCAGATATTCAGAGAGGGGGGATTCTTTGTAGAGGTGTCCTCCAGAATGTTATTAACTGGGATTTGGTTTCACAGAGCAAAACCATCCTGTTTCCAAAGCTCAGCCATAGAAGCAACCCAGGGGGTTTTTACAGCTCGGTTACTGCTGAACCTGGTCCTTGTTTGTTAATCAAACACACCCTTACTCCTTTGGTTGTAGTGCTGTACCATCTGCCTGCTTGCCAGAGCAACAGTACTGGAGAGGATGAGCATCCTCAACCCATGCTGGGGAAGCCCAGCCAAGCACTGCAGGGTGACTGCACCAAGCCATGGCATCCACCCTACAGCTACCTATTCTTAATGCTGTTACTGTGTAATGCTCAAAACTCTTAACAGCCACCTTTCAACTCTAGAAGTAATAATGTCATGCAAGGATAATTCAGATGCCCAGCAAGCAGTAATCCATCCTCCCTCCCTGAGCCTTGTGCCTGGTATAGCAGCTCTTGCAGGGGCTACACAGCATTGTCACTGGACAGGGTACGAAATACTTCCCCTAAAATAGACAGATTGATTGAGCAAAGAAGGTGATGCAGAAGTAATTGTCTGAGCAGTAAAATCAGCCTTTTCCCCATCCTATCTGTCCACCCAGCCAACGTCTTTGGATACTGGGATGAAACATCAGCTTAGAGTAATGAGGTGACACAAAGCAGCTTTATTCCTTTTGGACTGCAGCACAGAGAGGCCTCACTTTCCACTACAGTATCCTCTAATAGAAAACTAGGAAAATATTTTTTTCTGTATTTCTTTTACCCTTTTTTTTTTTATGTTATTGTAAAAAGTTTGCTCACCAAAGCAAAAGAATACATCATACCTAAAGCAAAATGAGCTCTTTATAAAAAGCATACAGTTTTGGCATAGAAAGCAAGGAATATAAATAAAGAAAAACTGGTAAGATAGGTCAACAGCTTTCATAAATGATTCCCCCAAAGCCTGACCTACTTCTCGTAGCCCAAGAATGTGTCTTTATTTTTGTCTGTGACCTGCTTTAAAAAAGTACATCTTTTTCAAAATTCCATGTGCTTAGCTGCCAAAAACTAGAACTGGCTGAACGCTGATGGCAGAACTCCAGTGTAAATGCCCATCTCTCCCTGCAAGAATGCACCTTGGTGTGGAGTGGGAATGACAAATCTGCTTCATGCATTCCTGGATTCCTTTTAGTCTCTTCCACTTGGAAAAGGATTAGTAATAATTCAGGAGAAGAGGAGGATAGCATGATTGGGTTTTTTCCACACTGGATAACCCTAGAGTGTATTATCAAGTGTATAAACTGGCAGGATTTAGGCAGTATAATAATACTGACTTGAAAACTACACAGATGGTCTACAATGGCAAAGGAAAAGCTTGACATGCTGATCCAAGAGAAAATGTTACTAAAGTCTGGGGTGTTTCAGAATTCAGGGTTCCCTTTAGCATCAGTACAGAAGTAGGACTGTGCCACAAGAGCCTGGATCCAGATCTGAAAACTGCAGAGGTCTTGTAGGCTTATCTCGAAGGGATGTTAATCAGAAGCAGCTTCTGCAACTATAGAGTGTAACAAAAATGCTGCTACTATTTTATTGAAAGTTTATGGTTATTATGTCACCCCTAATTACAATCCCCAGAAGCTAAGCGTGAATCACTCTCAATCCTAAATCCCAAACATGTGGACTGAATTTTCTTTCTTCTCTCTGCTTTCTAGCAAGGATGCTATCTCTGCTACACTAAGCAGGGGAGGAAAATAAACCCTGAAGCCCAAAGAAATCTCACTTCCAGCTCCCATGAAAAATGACTGCTTTGTATAGTAACTAAGTCCTCTGACCCTCACAGGTCAGGGTTGAGGGTTCAAACTGCTCCAAATACAGGAACTGACTTTTAAGACCTAAGGGAGTTGGATATACTCAGCAAATTAATAATAAACCTAATAATAATAATAATAATAATAATAATAATAATGTACTTTAATCAGACTCCTCAATGAAAAGTCCTACAAAGGGTATCTTTTATATTAGCTCCCCAAATACGTGGCTTATTCAAAAGGAGAAAGCTCTGAGTACCAGAAAGACTGAAGTCTGGGGTTATTAACCACACATGGACATTTATGTGGACAATTTGGACATTTATGTCACAAAGAGTTTATTTAGATAATCTTGAAGTGGAAGAAATGTCCTTAAAGATTTTGGGGACAGGGAAGGAGGGAGTGGGACATACACAGACCTAAGGTGACATTGTGAGTGCAAATAAATTAAGAATTGAATTTAAGTTGACGAATAATATTTATGCATATATGAATGGGTGCTTCATCGCATTCTCTAAAGAATAATATGGGTCAGATGTTGCAGATATGCTGACCAACTATGCCAGATATCCCCCATGCTAAGCTTCCCTTGTGGTCACTTGCACATGCAACACACTCCAACTTCTTCACACCTACAGAGCCGATGTGACCTGTGTTGCTGATTTGTTAATGCCATGAATCATTTTACAAGAAAAACAGCAAGGAAAGAACAGAACTGTATGGAAAGGACAGTGTATGACTTTGAGTTTCCCACTGACTTTGAAACAAAACCCACTATGAATAGGCAATGCCCCATGAAAATAAGAGTAAATGTAAAATTAAATACAGGAAGCAGTAAATATATATGAATGATGTCTATAATAGCACCAGCTAATAGCTCAGGTTGGAAGGGGACCTCAAGAGAGGTCATCAAGCCCAACCTCTGAAAACTAGGAAAAAACCAGAGCAAAACTGCCCCATGGAAAAACTTGTTAATAAAACGGAAGCCAACCTTTTTCGAGAGAGAAAGTAGCTCACAGAGCTGTCACCTTATTATAGTATTTCAAATACTTAGTTTCCCATTTCAAGAGCTAGAAAAAATTCTTAGGCTTCTATGGATGGTTGATCTGCTTTTGGTAATAAATATAATTATTCACAGCCTCCTGAGCTAAACTAAGCTAAAGTGAACAGGACATGTTCTGAGTCCCTCCCCAGTAGTCTTACCTGCTAACCCCTCTCATAACAGGTTAAATATGAAGCTCAACATCTTTCTCCCAAGCCAACAAAACCCTGAAATCCTTCTGAAATAGAAAAGCGGGGGGGGGGGGGGGGGGGGAATAAAAAAATCTTAGATGCTCTATGCTGATACTACAGAAGTGGTGAAAGGCCCTTTTTCCTAGCTCACTATTATTGTTACCATCAGCCAACTGAGGACTCTTCTACTACACTAGCTCACTGGAGCAGTTAGGGACAAGGAACATGAACATCTCCCAGACATCACAGGTGCAGCGGTGAAGAGATGGGAAAGAACAGGAAGAAGGAAAGAGGAAATCCTTATGTAAAATAGGAGACTAAAATTCAGAAAAAACTACCTACAGCTGTCCAGGAAAGGTGGTGGGTGGCTGAGCATGATTCACCCACTTTGTGCTAACTGTCCTTGAATAACACACAGCTCATTTGCTTTTAAATATTTGTCCCTTCCTCTCTCATCCTCAGCTAACTGAGCACAGAGTATCTGACATGAACACATAAAAGCTCTGTATGTCAAACTCTCCCAACATTAACACTGGGGCTTGCAGAAACAAGCAGGGGATACATGCTGCTTTCCTCCTTTGCCATCGGGAACACAAGTTCAGTCACGTCAAGGAAGAGCCCAACTAACACTTCAGGTCATTGTCCCACTATAACTTTTCCTCTCAACATCTGTTCCCCACATCTGTCATGGCAAACCTCTTCCAACTAGGAGGAAGCTGGGGGTGGGGATGAATTCCTTGTGAATGCTCAATGGGGTCCTCTGAGGGACACTACAAAAATCTCAGTTATCCTGTAGATCTCAGTGTCTAAAAGCTATTGTAACTGTCCCTAGCTACAGCATTAGGTTCCAATTCCTTGTGGGTTATCTGGATGCAGTATTTCAGATTAACCTTTCGTAGCAGAGAAGACAGCTATAAAATCTGAACATCTAAGTTTGTATTTTGGTCATCTCTCTTTTTTTCAGAGTTTTGGATCATAACCAAAACTCCACAGATAAAACCAAGAGTAAATGCCCCTAAAATGCAAACATTTTCCTAGCAGCTGTTTGATGCTAATAAGGTTTCAGTGCTAAGTCATTCTGAACTAAAGCCTTTTATTATATGCTTCCATTATCCTGTGTCTATGTTCCTTTCTGCACGTAGAGTACAAATATAATTTTCAGTCCTTTCCAACCATACTTCTGAACACCAAGCACAGCTTTAAAAAACAGGAAAAATTACTTGTCATTTCAAGGTGAGTTTGAAGTTTCCATGAATAGTTTTCACATTTGCATGAACAGCAGCTGTGTCTGTAAATGCTTTGAAATAGCTAAAAGCTCTAAACTAATTAAGATTTTCCCATTGCAAATACACATTTTAGATTTGCTCTGCATTCCTTCCTTCGCAGAGAGGAAAAGGTCCGGCTCAAGACTTAGCTTCTGGCCACAGAAATATTTACTGTTTCAAAAGCCTTTCAATTCCAAGGGAGTGACATCAGCACTAGCACTTTGCAAACTTTTAGTCTAATTCTCAAGCAGAGCTCCATGCTCACAAATATGCCAGTCATAACATGACATGCTTTCTCAGAATTTGTTCCAGATTTATTTGAGCTGTGACTGGCCTTAACGCTAGGAATGATCTTTTATCAGTCACGTACTGTACAACCTACAACACTCAAGAAAATGAATTCAGTACACAGTCCAGCTCCTTTGAGAACTGCCTGCCAGCATTAAAACTTCAGACACAAA